CCAGCCCTCCGTTCCGGGTGAGAGCGAGACCCCGGTCGCGCCCACTGGTGTCTCCCCCGTCCAGCCCACCACTCCTGGCGAGACCCCGGTCGCGCCCACTGGTGTCTCCCCAGTCCAGCCCACTCAGCCACCTCTCACTGGTGCTGCTCGGGCCGTCAAGCCTACTGTCGGTCTCTTGGCTGCAGTAATGGGTGTGATGATCCTGCTATAAGCCCATCCGCTTGGGGACAGCATCTGGACATCGACCATCTAAGATGCTAGAGGCGCAACGGTTCGATACATTATAATATCCCAGTTTGGTTTGCTTTATCTTTTGATTACCGCCTGACATTTGATCCCCCCAATCTGTGCTGCTTACAAGACAAAGAAAAGTTACAAGTTGGATGGCGCTAGGGTTTCTCGTTTGTCAGATAATACCGTACCAGTAATATATAATAATATTTGTGTCTTTATACTTTTGGTACATCTGAGCAATTGAGTGTCTGGTAGTTGTGCGAACAGTGATGCTTATGCACTTGTAGATTCAAGGAAGGTCTTCGCTATTGAAAACTAATGCTCCCCGCAGCCGTGGTGTCCATAGTGTATTCACAATAGCGAGTGACTCGTCTATAACATATCCCATTGGTATCTGTCTAAACCATATACTCCAAGTCTATCGATCCATGTACAAATTAAAGCGAAGTCCCCCCTTGAGCTACATTACTGCTCATTAACCAGCACGTAACGGTAGCGCGCCTTACCCGCGTGCATGTCCACGATGGCGCTGTTGGCATCTTTCATGGGGATCTCCTCAATCCAAGGCTTGACTCCCTTGTCCGCAACAAGCTGGAACATCTCCCGAATCTCCCGAGGAGATCCAATGAAAGAGCTCTCGACCTTCACGCGCCGGATAAGGTTACGCACGTTGGCGAACAGCGTCCCATCCTCCGGGAGACCGACCTGAACCAAACTGCCGTTGGTAGCAAGAAGACCCAGGTACTCCGTCATGGGCATCTGATACACATTAGCCTTCTGGGGACTTCTCTAACGCTGTGTGAGATAAGTGCAATGCCTACCTTCGAGGAAGAAACGGTGCAGACGATCAGGTCCAAGGACCGGGCATACTTGGTAGCCCAGTCCGGCTCGTCGTCTGTAGCGATGTATGTATCGGCGCCCATCTGGAGCGAATCGGCGCTCTTGCTTGCTTTGCGCGAGATAGCGACGACCTTGTCGGCGCCCATGGCCTTCGCGAAGAGAACACCGAAGTGACCCAGGCCGCCGACGCCGATGATGCCAACGCGCTTGCCGGGCCCGCAGCCGTTGTGCTTCAGCGGGCTGTAGACGGTGACGCCGCCGCAGAGCATGGGGGCTGCGTCGGCCGAGGGAATGGCATCGGGGATCTTGATGACGAAGTTGGACGGGGTGCGGTTGTACAGGGAGTATCCGCCGTAGGACTTGTCGCCGTTGAGATGGATGCCGTTGTAGGTGCCGACGATCTTATGCGAGCAGTACTGCTCCCAGCCCATGGCGCACTCGGGGCAGTCGCCCAGACGACCCAGACACGAATCGCTCTGGGCACCGACGCCGACGCGGTCTCCGACCTTGATATCGCCGACAGCTTTCGAGCCGACACGGACGGCAATGCCGACGATCTCGTGGCCAACGCAGCAGGGGTATTTGGTAGGGCCCTGAGGTAAGAATTAGCCATTTGATTCCCTACCCGTTGAATATGTGAACGGAACCTACCCAGCCGCTGCGGAGAGTGTGCAAGTCCGATCCGCAAACACCACAGTGGGTGACCTTAATGTCGACGTCGGTCTCCTCCCATTCCTTTGGCTCGAACTCCTGCCAGACCATCTTTCCATCTGCCGACTCGGGCGCCAGGCCCATCCACCCTTCGAACCTGTAGTCTGTTTGCGTCATGCTGGCCTGGTGTTCCTGTTCTGGGGATTGATGTTTAGAAAGGAACCAGCCGGTCCAGAACCGGTCCCATGGGCCATTTATACTGACCCAACGGCTCTACGGCTCTGCTCCGGAGAGTCCATGGAGTTCTGCGGATATTGCGGGCCTCGAAAGTTATGGTCTCCACTCCTGATTGTATGTGCGTGACGGTGAAACTCAATGTAGATGGGACGAGAGATTCGTCTTTTAGGGCAAGCTGGATTTTTCTGGGTTTCTGTGTGTGTAGGGTACGAAGTGAGCGCTCATTGGAGGTCGGTAAAGTATGTATATTCATTGTAGTATACTTTATCTCTTTCTCTTGTGATTTATTTTATTTATTTTTTTTGACGATAAAGACGGCTAATTCTCGGTCTCGTTCGTTTAAGGTCGGCGGCACTAATGCGCCGAGACGGGATTCAAATCCTTAATATCAGATCCAAAGAACGGTCTGTAGCTTGTATCCAAGACACTTCAAAGTAGATCTTCCGGTCAAATCACTATCATCACGCCATTGGCATTGTATATGACCGCGGAACACCAATTACCTAAATGTTGTCTGAGCAGCAAATCAATTCTATGCAATGGAGTCCCTCCACTGCCTCCAACTCCAATGGCTCCACTACGAGGGAAGAAACGGAAGAAAAAGAACTTAAAAGAAGAGAAAATTGGAGACCAACGGCACTAAATGTTGACTAATTCCGGGATTGCTTGTATTTTCGGCATTCGAAAAAGTTTCCGAGGATATGGTGGGCCGAGTCGAACTGGACTCCGTCGGCCGACTCGGGATCTGCCTGCCTTTACCGTCTCGCGCCGTATGGGTTATACGTTAAATGCTCAAGTTACGTGAAGGAATAATGTGTCTAGATTTCGTCCCTAGCATTGATGGGAAATAGACATGGAAGATTGAAGAAAAGGATGCTCAGGATATACAAGTAATCACAAGTAAGAAGAATAAGAAGAAGGATGAAAGGGTCACAGCGAACATGGCTGGCGAAATCGAACAATGAAGACCGTGGAAATCTATACCGAATGCAAGGATTAAGTCATCTTTTGAAGAACCTCCACGCGGACCTGTCTTCGGCTATACATATTGGATCCCACCCATATCGACGCGGTATTTAGAACAGTGACAAAATGTCCTCGTTGGTCTTCTTGGGCTGGTTTCCTCCCGGTGGTGGTGATGTCGTGTTCGATGATAGATCCAGCCCGGCGAAACCATTCATGAGATCTGCACTAGCACCATTACCATTGGGGGCTGGGGCCGAGGCTGCAGCGCCCCCGCCGTCACCAAACACGCCCAGTAGATCATCCAGATTGTTGCTGCCCGCCGGAGCACCGGCCGCGGGAGACTCTACCCGGACAGGTGTGCCGGCAAGGCCTTCAAGACCGGACATACCGCCACTTGGCTCCTTCTGAGCGGATGCTGGTGCACCCCCGTCGAAATCGATATCCAGAAGATTTTCAACGTTGCTTTGACTCTGGGGCGGCGGAGCCTTGCCGGTAACTGCCGCTGCGGCTGCAGCTGCAGCCAATGGGTTCTCCCGTGCATTTTGGATTTGTTCCCTAGAGAAGAATGGTTAGCGAAGAGAGCAAAAGCCAAGTCTAACTGTCAAGGGGGACATACTCGATGGCGGCCCTTTGAACGGCGTCAGCACCAAATCTGCCTTGGCCGACGAATTGCTCTGGTGGCTTGTGGTAGACAGAGGCGAGGGTAGAAAGCTCGGTGAGGAGTTGTTCGAGAAGTGCTGGTGGGAGAGAGTGGATGGTAGTCACGATTGGGGGCTTTTCAGAGAGCATAATGTTCTTGGTGGCAGCAGGGTCGCTTGTGTTGGAGAGCAAGCGCCAGTACACATAGGCTCGGTCACGAACGTCAGGGTTGTCGTTCTCCGCCGTTGCGGCCTGCAGGACCTTCTGCACCAGTCCTTGGGCCTTCTCAGGCCGTTTTACGAAAAGTTTGACAACAGCGGTGAGAATCTGTAGCTGCGTTTGCGAGAACTCTTCATTGAACCCTTCCACGAATCCGGCTAGAATATCTCCAGCATTGTTGATCTTCTCCGCATACTCTCCCACGATCCAGATGAGCGCAGCTCTGGCGTTAGGCTCATCGAGCTCATCAATGCACTTGCAAAGAGTCGGAATAATACCTTCATAACCAGGATACTTCCGGAAAATGTCCTTGATCACCACAATGGCCTCCTGCACCACGTAGTTGACCTTCGTGTTGATCAAGTCCAACAATGTGTTAACGCATTTCTCGCTGGCGTTCTCAATCTTGATGGCAACCTGACCGATCGCCTTGACGGCGCGCCGCACAAAGTCCATGTCTACTTCCAGGGCGTATTCCTTAAGTTCTGCCAGAAGCTGGTCGACATTGCGGTCGTTGGCAATGCGAACCATGATCTCAAGCTTCTGGAATTTAACGTAGGGCGGGTCGTTGTACTTGCAGAAGAACACACGGAGCTCTTTGTTGAGAATATCCGGCTGTTTTTGCAGTAAGAGGTCGATATTTCTCAGGGCTACATATTGCACTTCGGGGGCGGACGAGACAAGGGTCACTAGAAATTAACCATCATCATTAGATCGTCTCCATAATTGGGTTCCAGGGGGCTAAATTACCCAAGGGGGGAGCCATCTTTTTCAGATAGTTCTTGGAGAGTTCATCTTTGATATTCCTCATGTGCAAAAAGACGACCTTGACGGCGGCCAACACCACACTGGGATTGGCATGCTGGAATTGAGGGGCCACGCGTTCACAGATATGCTCTGATTCGGTGACCTCAGTAGTCCGATACTCTGCCAGCGTTGTGAGAATCGTAACTCGACCCCACTCTGTGCACTCGTTCAACGCCATCAATAGCTTTCGTAGCGTATTGGCTGTGACCTGGAGCGCATTGGTTTCAGGCGCGGCGTGGTGGATCTCTGAGAGCGCTGTCACCGAGTTCGCAACCACCATGGGATTGGGGTCTCCAATCATCTCCTGAAGCATCTCGAGGAAACCATTCTCCATACACATTCCGGGGTTGAGATCGAAAAGCTTGGCTACACAAATTGCAGCTGTCTTGCGGACATAAGGCGATTCATCCCGGAGAGTCTTGCGGAGGGGCTCCTCCATGTAGTCGACCATCTTGTCCACTCGAATACATCCCATCGTTCGGATAGCGAGCGCTCTGATCAGAGGATTAGGGTCTTCGGAGTCTTGAACGAAGGTGTTCACGGCGAGAATACAGAGGTCCGGGTGAGATTTGGCGTAATTCCTGATTGCCGCGCATCAAATATCAGCATGCAGAGCGACCATCCAAACAGTCATGGGGCACCCACATCAGATACAGGTATACTAGTTTCTTCTGCTCAAGATCGCTCGTCGCAATATTCTTCAGGACATCGGGGAAAAGGGCGGATACATCCTTTCCTAAGGTCATGGCCATGATGGTTTTTTGGATAGCCTCCTTTCTGTGATCCGGTCAGATATCGTCACCGAATTCGGGAAAGGTGCTAGATCCTCGACAGTCAACCGGAGACATACCGTTCGTAGGCATATTGAGATCTGTAGTGCTGGTTAGTGACACTTGCTGGAACGCGTAATGACAAGAACTTCGGCGTGCATACACAAGTCCAGCTCGCAATTCGAATGTTTCTCCTTTTCTAGGCACCGCAAAGGCGCCGCGTATCCTGCTCATAGCCATCGTGATTGAAATCAAGCTCCACAGCGACGAACGGTGTGGGAATTAAGTATGCAAGAGTGTCCTTGCGGACCACTGCGGGGAATTTGGCGGCGACAAGAGGTTCAGGGATACCGTCGGTGGGTCGGCAATATGGCGTTTCAAATGACTGGGAAGATTAGGGTAAAATCAAAGCGTCATCCCCAAAGGCCCAGGTTGCGAAGGAAAAGGGGGGAATGGGCGCCGTTGAGGGAGAGCGGAGAAGATGAGGTGGAAGTGGATTAAAGGAAAGGGTCTCATCATGTGTCTGGACCCAAAAGTTGTCCACAAACACGCGGCTCTGCCGTTTAGCATTTAAGGCCGCGGAGCTTAATTACCACGACTTCTCAGTTACTCCAGACACAGATCCCTTGGCATTGTACACGTCGACCGCATGGTAAGAATTTCTAATGAACTTCATATATGCTTAGATCGAGTTCAATCTTGTTAACCCGCTTGTCAGGCAAATCTTCCCAATCTCCGGCGGTTATTCGTCGAGGCCAGAACGGAGGCCGAGGAGAACGAATACTCCAGGACTGCTGTAAGCGATCGACAACTCTACAACCGGACATTGAGTCGGAATTCTGACTATGATCCCCGCAGTTCTATAACCTCGTCCTCTTTATCTCCTCAGTCGCAGTGTTCAGCTTAGTCGCGCAACGTATGGGAGGGACAAAGACCGGAAAATGATATAAAACTTGGCAGTGCATGACCTCAGGGCCATCCATGGATCGCACCTTTCCTTTTGAGACGCGAGCTTTAGGACAGGTGTTGCCTGGTTCTCTTGCTCCTATCCTTTCTGTCTTTCTGATGATTACCGCGTATCACGTCTCTTCTCTGTCCGTCCCCTCTGTCTTCTAAGAACTAAAGATGACTCGTTCCCATTCCTCAACCCCACCGTCCACCGCGATTCGCCGCTGGCTGCGGCGGAGAGATCCACGCTTCCTATCAGATGAAGAAATTGTAAGTAAGCTCTATATGAGTTATTTCCAGAGAAAAAGCTAATCAGAAGATTCGGGCCCTAGGTGTCTGATATGTTGAATTTACGGATTGAGCTTCTGAAAGCAAGAGCAGAAATCACTGCAAAAGAACAAAGAATAGCAGACCTTATTCGGGAGCAAACAAAGCGCCGTGTAAGTGTACTTAGATTGTTACTTGTGGTTACTGTGGCTAATGGAATATGCCGTGAACAATAGAACGCCGGCAAATCTGTTGAAGAAAAGCATGAAAAGGAAGATTAGGGCGTATAGCAATCAATCCGTCTCCTCGCCGTCATCTTCTAAGAAGGCAAGGTGTTTGCGGCCTCGGTTTAAACGTCGTCCTGGTCGCCCGCTGTCGCTCTCTTCGTCGGCACCGCCTTTGCCATATATCTTTACCTCCTCTTGGCACGAGACGACGTCAGCTTGAAGCTCACGCCTTTCCCTGATCTTCAAGGCTTTCCTTTCAGCTTCCTTTCCCTTCAACGGCCCCGTCATTCCTGCCTCCCTGAGCATGCCCTCAAGGTGCCCGATCTTCTCCTTAGATGTCTCATATGGAGCCAGCAGTCGCCACCACATTTTCCTGATCCCGCATTTTACCAGCAAGTCTTGCAACTCCTTTATCTTCTTTTGGTCTGGGTCAAGGTCCGCGTCCTTTGCTTTAGATGTGGCCGTCGTCTTCTTCCGTGTCTGGGTTGAAGCTTTGGTACCGGCGCTTTTCTGTCGCCGTCGGGTCGGCTTAGGCTCTTCGTCAAGAACCACGGACATTTCACTTTCCGAGTCCTCTCCGCGGTCATTTTTTGGCTCCTCGGGCTCTTCCGATGGTGCGGCGTCATCCTTCTGGTCCTCTACATCCTTCTCGTCATCCGACACCTGTCTTTCGAAGGCTTCGGTTTGGAATTATTTCTGAGAGTTGTTTTTGATTGCTTCTTAGCGGGCTTTTTCACTTCTTGTTCACTCTCATCGTCTAGTGGCGCGCTGTCTTCACTCTGGTCTTCCGGTTCTGTACTCGTTTTCCGTCGCTTTCGTGATGTCTCAGTTTTGTCGAGTTTTGTCCTTTTAGCAGAAGAAGCCTTCGCGGGAGGAGCCTGCTCCTCCGGTTCTTCATCTGAGTCCGGTTCTTGCGCCCGCTGATCTTGTACCTCCTGCGGACCCGTAGCAGTTAGCTACACGACTAAGCCAATAGCAATAAGTTCCCATAACATACCACTTCATCCTTAATGATCTGATCACTCTTTGACTTCCAAGTGCTGCTTCCTTTGAAAAAGCCCTCCTCAACCCCGAGGGATTTCTCCGCCGCCATGCGCACCCGCTTCACCGTCAATTCCTCCATATTCCCCGATTTGTAAATTGTCGCGACGGTCTCGCGTAGAGCCTTTTCGAGCGCATCATTGGAAGGGACCGAAGGGACTGCGGGTTCATCAGACTCGGACTCGGAATCGGAAACTACACGGCGTCGAGGCGCCATCTTGTCTTCCGCACTGCCTTGCTCTGGTCTTATACGCTCTTCGGTGACGACTTCGTAACTTCCGAGTCCAAGGCGGGCAAATTCGCGACGCGACGCTAATTCCGAACTATCGGCTGGGGCAGCTATAGTAAGCTTGTCGATATCGCAAAATCCAGAAATCGAACTCGTAACAACGAATTGACACGAACAATCACTAGCCGTATATAGAAAATAATCGTACACAATCTCGCCACTAAGTTAGCTTTATCGTCCAGACCGGCGGGATGTTCCTGGCCAGGCACCGGGAGTTGCAAAACCCGGGGAAAGACACCGCTGACAAAGCACTAAATTTATGCTTACTTTTGGGTCCGGTACAACAACCAGAAGGGAAAAGAACGGGGGAGAAAACAGGAAAACTTCTGAAATATAACCCGGGGAGGGTATTCTCTTTTAATCTCTGTGTATATACATCTCAGGAATCGCCACTACGAACCGGATCACTCCCGTGCGCACCTCCGCGGTATACCGAGAGCACCTCCGCACAGCATCAGAGAGATACTACTATCTATAATCAACGGATCGACGACGCTTGACTAGTCCTCGCGAAGAGCAAATAAATCCACAATGTCAGCCTCAGAGTCACAGCACGGTCTACCCAAGAACCTATTCCCCCACCACACACCCGCAGCCGCCAGCTCATCCACCGAGGAAAGCAAAGATGCCAACGGAATGACGAAACTGCCCAACGGGGTCATCCTCGACAAAGATGGGAAACCGTACGTCTTATCGTTCGCCCTCTAAACATACCTCCTCCCCCCAAACCCCCAAACCCCCAAACCAAAGAAAAGCTCACACCCGTTAACTAACAACCCTGCAGCTGCCGTCTCTGCACCTCCGCCGCATCCTGGCGCAACCTAACCAAACAAGCCAAAGCTCAAACCGCGACCTCCACAACAGCAGCAACAACGACAGCCCCAAAACCAGTCCCCGAGTCCACATCCCTACCCCAATCGCAAGACGACTGTCCCCCCGACGTCGAAGCCCTGGGCCGCTCAACATGGACCTTCCTCCATTCCCTGACGGCGTCGTACCCCGTGAAAGCGACGCAGGAGCAGCAGGGCGAGATGCGGACGTTCCTGAAGATCTTCTCGCGCTTGTATCCGTGCTGGGTGTGTGCGGATGATTTCCGGACCTGGATGGCGGAGCCGAGTGGGCGTAACGAGCCGCGCTTAGCTGGGAGGGCGGATTTCGGGACGTGGATGTGCGAGGCGCATAATGAGGTCAATCGGAAGTTGGGGAAGAAGGAGTTTGATTGTCGGTTTTGGGAGGAGAGGTGGAGGACGGGGTGGAAGGATGGGAGGTGTGATTGATTGATTGATTAATTAATTGATGGATGGTTATTATAGAATTGTTAGAGTATAGATGGGTTCGGATTTGTACGATAGCTTGCTGGCATGGTTCTCTCTACTCAACTGCGAACTGCAGGTATGGTGGGACGACTCTCTTCTCTGTGTATGTATACATGAAGCACTCTTCTTTTTTCTTTTTTTCATGAACATCTTGAAGTTGCATTGCGAAAGTAGAAGTTAAGGTAATATAAAACAACGTCGCTGGGAAATTAGTGTAAACAGCAAATCCATACATCTAGTAAGCGGCTTCCTCCAGCGCCACACTAAACTTCCTCCCACGGGAAACTTATTCGCTTCATATGTTTCACATTGGAGACAGAGAATTACATGACAGACAATCTTCCGACTCCTTCATCCTTAATGTTGGCCTGGAACGTACAACCGTAATCCACTAGCCGGTGCACCGATCTCGGTCACGTCGGATATCCGACACACGGTACCCTTATACTGTTCATGATATTTGGCGCCGGTGAACGGATCTGAGACGCTTGGGGAGCCGCTATAGATAGGGGTATGGGAAGCAGCGCAGATATCGAACTCGGCGAACTGGTCGAACTCGATGTCAATCTTATCCTGCGGGCTGCGCTCGCATTGAGCCTTGATCTTCTTTGCCTGTGTACTGGTCAGCATCTTGTTCTGTGAGATAATAACCTTCATCGTCTGACTTACCTGATCCAGGAGCTTAGGGGAGCCACCGTTCGCCAACATCCGGTTGGCAAAGCTGAGGGCCGAGGAGTAGTTCTTGTTGGCAAAGGCAAGCTTCATTGCGGCCATCAGGGCCAGCTGGCGATGGGCAACCTCCAGCTTGGGGATAGTGAAGTAAGCAGAGAGTTCGAGGCTTCGCTTGAGGTTTTCTGGGGTGTCGGTCCCAACAGCACGGCGCTCCAATTCGATCGACATCGCGAGGATGTATTCCCGAGCAGTTTCGATGATCTTCTTTGCCTGTTCAACCTCGGCCTCTGACGACACCGTGTTCAGGAGGAGAGAGTGCAAGATATCCTTAAAGATTCTCACACCGTCCTCGAGCTTGTTGGCCCTCATGGCTGCGTAGCCTTCCTGGAGGTCTACGTTGGCAATGGTCTCCAGATCCTTCGCGATAACGGGGAGGACCTTGCGCGAGTCAGTCTCCTCAACAGTCCGGCGAACGTAGTTAACCAGAGGTGGCAGGCCGGGAGTCGCTGGGAGATAAGTCTTGGAGGCCTTATACACTTCCAAGAAGCGTGGCTTGAGAGGCGCGAAGTTTACGGCGCCAACTTGGCGATTGAGAAGCTGCATGGCAGTGTCGAAGGAACCAGCGGCGACGTGGTCGGCGGCAAGAGGGGAGTTGCGAGCCCAGAGGTCGGCCTCCGTGCTGCCAGCACCCGCCTCAGCGCTGTCCACATTGACGAAGTCAACATCTTCCTCAACGTTAATTTCGTCTCCCATGTCCCATCCAGCAACGTCCTCGTCCTCATCTTCCAGGTGTTCGCCGCAGTCTCAGCTTCTTCCTCTTCTTCCTCAGCCTCAAAGCCAATAGCCGCAGATTCGTCATCCGCGCCAACTTCTCCGAGCAACGCTTTCTCGAACGACGAATGGGCAGCAGCCTTGACGGGCCAGTTCGACTTGAAAGTCGGCACGATAGGCTGTGGTACCTGTAGGACCCCGTCGCCAGTGGGCAGAGTGATCTGGTCTTCCGTGAGGCCGCAAGCCTCGAGGATGGACTCCGCCTCTTCGGTCAACCCATGGGTCTTGGCGGTCAGGTATGCTAGAGGATCTACAAGCTGTTAGCGAGGCACTTCAATGAAGATGCTAGATTTGGGACTCACAAAGATCGACTTCCTTGAACATCTGGATCCTGTCCTCAACATCGCTACGGTAGATGGCGTTCTGGAATCGGGAAGTGAAATCGCCACGATGTTCAGCAATCTTGGCCATTCGTCCAAGCTTCTCCTGGTCACCCGTGGCCAAGTAGAGGAAGGACAGCTTGTCGAAATTCCGCTGCTTTTGGTAAGCCATCTCCACTACCTGGTGATTGCCATGGGCCAAAGCTTCTGTGCCAAGTCTGCTCCACAGATTGGGGCGGTCCAACTCTCTTGCCATCTCGACGGCAACATCAAGGTTACCGCACTCCAGGGCGAGCTCGAAACGAGTCTGGGGGTCCTGCACGAACTGGAGCGCAATCTCTGGGTAGCCCTTCTTCTGCAGGTATGAGATGATGCTTTGACCGACAAGGCTAGAGGTCTTGATGATCTGGAGCATCTCATCATAGTTTCTCTTGACCAGCGCCAGCTTGAACCGGTACTCAGTAGGATCAATTTCCAGGATTCTCGGCTTGGCACTGCGGTCCAAGCAGTAGACGTTCCGGCCCTTAACCTTGACGAGATAAACTGTCTGGTCGAGGGTGCGAATGATGCCATTGTCACTTTGACACAATCAGCATGCGTGCTTCATCAGAAAAGAGGAACAAACTTACCCGTTAAGGAGAGAGTACTTGACGTGGTTCAAGGTGGAGTAGAGAAGGACGCCAGCGTCATCCCAGGCGGCGCTCTTGATACGAATGGTCTCATGCAAGCTGCTCACTTGCTCCAGGGATTTGGTGACAATCGTCACATTATGCTTGCTGAGCAAAGCTGCATACAGGCCATCGTTGGACCAGACAACGTATTTGACGCCGCTGACAGCCAACTCAGCCAACTGCTTCTTCTGCTGGATATCGAAAAGAGCGACGTTGGTGGGTGTGACAAAGAGTAGGCAGCCGGTACCGCCAAAGTAGATATCGGTTGTACCTGGAGGAGGTTTGATCGTCTTCGTGGTGGAGTTGCTCAAGTCCTTGATGTCTACTTGCTGGTTCGCTTGGTTGAAAACAGCGAAGCGATTGCGAGCGACAAAGACAGCAGAAGAAGCCTGGCCACGTTTTACGTCGGTCGGCTCCACGGCACCAGTAGCATCCCGTGGGAGGTGAATCAGCTCGTACACGCCGCCATCGGTTGGCGAAGTAACCAGGATGGCACGCTCAGCGGGGTTGTACGAGACAGTCCGTGGAGGCACCCAAGGCGAACCCAGCTTGCGCAACGAGAGCATCGGGGGAGATTCGACATTCTTGGCGAAGTCATACGACTTGACATGCTTCTCCTTGGTAATGTAGAACAGCTGATTCTGGTAAACCGCAGAAGCTGGCCTCTCGCGCTCCAACTTGAAAACCATGACACCAGTGTCGTGACCTGCCGCAAAGAGATTGATTTCGGGGTGAGCGGCAATAACCCAGAAGCGATCCAGATCACGCTTGAATGATTGCACCGAGGTCCTCTTATTCAAGTCCCATGCTCTGATTGTTTTATCTTCGCCGACAGAGAGGATCAAATCTTGGTGAGGGTGGAACAGACAGGCCGAGGCATTCTGGAAATGACCGCGACATGTATCAACTTCCCAGGCTTTGGTGTCTACCGTAAGATGTTAGCGACTTTAAACCACGGGTGGAAAGCGCTGGGTTGCAACGTACCGCTCATCCTCCATAACTTGATCAGGCGGTCGTCACCCGCAGAGACAATCAGGGGCAGAGTGGGGTGGAAGGACACCCAGTTGACACCTCGATCGTGGCCCTCCAAGACAAACTTGACAACTGCATCGGTGTTTCCAAACATATCCGCCTGGCTGGGGTTGGCCCGAGCCATCTGGTCTTCGAACGACATGGTTGTCGGCGCGGAATGCTTCTTCCGCAAGCCCGAGATGTCCCAGATACGGACAGACTGGTCTAGGGAGGCGGAGGCAATCAGGTCCTCGGTTGGGTGAAATTGCGCGCACATCACATAATGATTATGGCCCGTCATCGTACAGACTGAGGACTCCAAGTCAGTTTTGTTCGGGATAGGTGTCCAGATCCCAACTTACTCAGTGACCTGTTCTGCCAGTTCCATATGCGGATTGTCTGGTCGTCCGACGCGGAAAGAATCCAAGGGAGCTCGGGATGGAAGAACACTGTGCGCACATAATCGAGATGGCCATTGAGGGTGAACAGACATCTCCGCGTTTGGTAATTCCACACTTTGATCTTGTAGTCATCGCCTCCGGACACGAAGAGGGGTTGTGTAGGATGAAAGTCAATGCCTCGGACGGGGCCATCGTGTTCTTCGAAACGGTCAATGAGGGTTCCCATGCGATAATCCCATAGTTGGATCGTCGACGAATGAAGCGATACTAAGATCCATGGCCTGGTTCCATCAGGGTCAGCGGTGCTTGATTGCGACGCGTGGGACGCTCAGTCGTGGACTAACCGCTTGGGATGGAAAGCGATTCCCTTCGCTCTGGATGACTTCGACTCAAACTGTGCAGGGTATGATGTTTAATAGTTGCCCTTGAAACTCCAGAGCCAGATTTGTCGGGGGGGAAGCATTAGAGGGGAGGACATACCTTAGTGAGCATGTTTGGGGAGGACTGCATCTTGAAAGAGAGTTGGCCGGAGCCGCACCATAGAGAAGCAAGCTCCGCACGCTAGATATAAAGAGATCACAAAAGCGACCACCTCATCCACTGCTGCAACGGGCAGAATGGCAGAGGATCACGCAGGTATGGTCGGGGAGCGTCTGGACTCGGGGACAGTCTGGACAACTAAACTAAGAGCGATGAGGCGGTAAACGTGGACTTATTGTGTCGCCCGCCGGGAGAGCCAATAAGCGAATCCCGTTGGGCCAATGATGGGCCCCGGCGGTGAGAAGCTGCCAGGGGAACATCAATTGCCTTCCCGTAAGGAACTCCAACTTACTCCGTTTCATACGAGAGACAATTCGATGAGAACTCTTGATTTCCACACTGGAACTTTATGAAAATGGACTAGCTATTGAGACTGACTTTTCTAGGGTCCCATCTTACCCATTGCCTCTTCCAGGATGCCGTCCTTAATCCCTCGCTGTTACCCCGGATGCTCCCCGCCGAAGAACAACCGTGGGCACCTCCACTAACACACATCATAAGTACGACTCAGGGCAGTTACGTCCTCAGTTCCAATTGGTCACTCTGCAGAATATTCTCGAATAAAACACATACGTCGCTCAACGCTGTGAAGGCGACCCATGTACTGTACTTTTCCTTTCTTTCTTTGGCATGACTGCAATATATCCCGTCCAACACGTTCTTATCGTGGACTTGGGCTAGCGTGATATGGAAGAGATGCCTGGAATCTATGCCACGGCTTCTGGTCCATCCCAAGCCTCCACAATGTCAGATAATAAAAATGAATTTACACCATCCCAACAAAGTCAGAATACATGCAATGCAGCCGCAGAGGATCCTTTAAGCCAGGACCCCGACCATAATGCTCCTGTTGTGATACAACCATATGCTATTGAGGAGCCGGAGGAGGACCCTCCCCCTGTATCTTCCAAGCCTGCTATTACTTTTCTTCTGGGACCCAGTTCTGAGCACTGGCAAACTGACCTGGTGGACTCAATGGAAGACTTACACTGTGAATCTGACAATAATATCACCAGGCCGACATCAAGATATAACCGAGGCAGGAAAAGGAAGTCGCCTAGCAATGCTACTGGAGGGTTTCACGTATCCCAGAAACAAGGTTCTGGCATGTCACTAGATCGACGATACGAAGAGGGACCCGATCTTAAATTGAGAAATCTACGCAGAAAAACCAAGCAATCAAACGAGGCCTTGGGGACTCCAGCAAGCAGTCTTTCGGATGTCGGACTTAGCGAGTTAGAGTCCTCAGAGAGTTTCTGCTCGAGATCTCCGTCGCTCGGGGAGACTGGCACCGATTCCAACCAAGAGGCCACTGCAGCGGAACAGATGGATCTAGATTGAGAAAAAGACCATGAATCGTTGACATCACTACTAGTACTTGCTCGATCTGGATCCCTCATGTCACGTGCCACTGGGCTAGTTTGAGTCGCACTAGTCCGGAAAAGGCCGTTGACATAGATGACGTCAGACGGTCCTCATCGCCAGCTGCCCACTGAGGGAGTACCACCATTCACTTCTCTCGGGTCGAGACCCGCCTCGTAGCTTGTCATCTTTCAATTCTCTCTTATTCCTGACTTTCTATCATCCAATTGGACCCTCTATCCTTTCATTTAATCGTTACTTCCCTCACAATGGCCGCGACTAGGACTTCGACCCGCCAAGCTGCTCAGAAGGCGAAGGAAGCCATAGCAGCCGGTCCAGACACTAAGAGCAAGAGTGGGGCGGGCGCAAAGCGTAAGGAGCTGCGCATAAAGGCCCGGAGCCGAAAAGGAGCAAAAAGGATGATCAGAAGCCTGCGCGGGATGAGGACCAGAAGGTGGAAGAGCAAAAGGGGGGCGTAGAAGAGCAAGTAAAGGAAAAGAAGGAGGAACCTGTTCAACAAGAAGCAGAGGGAGAGAAGGTTCATCCGGTTGAAGAGCAGGCAGAGGGAGCAAAGAGTCAGCAGAATGAGGAGCAAGCAGAGGGAGAGAAGGAGCAACAGAACGAGGAACGCGCAGAGACCAAGAAGGAAGAGCCCGAAGAAGAGCAAGCAGTGGGGGCGAAAGAAGAACAGAAAGAGGAACAGCTAGAAAAAAGTAAGGAAGAACAAGGGAATGACAACGAGGAATCACTGAAGTCAAATACTGAAGAGGGCAAACCAGCTGACGGTATCAACTCCTGTACACGCTTCGAGTTGCATGATACTAACGATGCGTAGAGCGAGAGAAGCCCGCTGATGATGGGGTCGAGTCTGGGGTTCAAAAAACACAGGAAAGAGAGGATGCCGTTCCTTCGAATATACTCGAGAAAGGCGTGATCTATTTCTTCTATCGATCCCGAGTTAACGTGTCCGAACCAAATAGTGTGGACGATGTTGCCCGAAGCTTCATTGTACTACGTCCAACTCCTTTAGGGGCTTCCCTGGATCAAACGCAGGGGTCCTTGGAACCTGGCGCGAAGTGTCGGCTGATGCTATTGCCTAAAAAGAAATTTCCTACCAGCGGGAGGGAGCGAGATATGGGTTTCGTTGAGAAGACTGGACAGACGATGAAGGAGCTCCAGGAGAACTATCTCGCTGGTGAGAAGTATGAAACCTCAACTCGTGGCGAACGCACTGTGCCGGAAGCCAAGCTGTATGCCGAAGGCGTCTATGCGATTACGTCCACCAAGCGAGCTTCGCACTTGGCGTACATTTTGACCATCCCTGGGGAGGTCGGCCCGCTTCAGGAAGACTTTGGTCTTCACGCGCGTGGCAGCTGGATTGTACAGTCGAAGAACCCGAAGTATCCGGGGCCTTCCTCCGCGCAACTTCCAAAGGACCCTGAGTACCCTGAAAGGTTTGCGACTGCCCTTCCCAATTCCATCCATTGTCCTCGAAACACGACTGATTTGCTGGATAGTGTCCGCGAAAAGTTCCAGGATTATCGCTGGGCACCATTGACACCTGAGTTCATTGACTATCCCAACGCCCAGTTCCTGATGATCGGTGAAGCTACAGATGACCTTGGAAAGGCTGCTACTGCTGAGCCTGACGGAAAGCGGTCTGAAGAGGCGCAGCCCTGGGAGGAGTTGGAGAAGTTGGAGGACGAGAACGAGGAGAGGATTGAGTCATTGAAAGGTAAGAGTTTCTTGGGTCCCATGGTGAAATATGTACTAAGGTTTGACTAGGGGATGATGCTGTGTACAAGGATCTGGGACTGGATGCGAGTAAGTATCCTAAGGTGTCCACAACTTGGGATAGTTAGTAGTCCACTCCGACGAGTAACTTGCTGAATGAGAGAACAATGTATAGTATGCATGAATACCAAATTAGGAGTAAGGATGGGTATTGTCTGATTATCTTGATACTAGTAGCATATGGATGATGATGCTTCTCACTGGTATACAAAATGAGCATATCTGCTAGTTAACCAAGCCACTCCCAATGTCAATGAGATCGAGAATGCAATCAAATATCATTGCACCAATGTAGATTAATGTAGTATGGAAACATTGACTCGGCAAGCCTAATACGAAGGTGGCAATGTATTCTGGTTTCATATTGGACATCTTTGAAACTCATCAGTTCTCGGCACTAGAATGAAACCGATCATGGAAGATTTCTCAACAAAACCAGAGGTACATGCCTTGAATAGGAGCTTGAACTTTGCATTACCCTTGTATAAAAGTAATTAAGCAGTACTTATGGTCCAATCCAGGATGCATGAGTCCCTTCGACACTTGTTCTAGAATACCTCCACAGCTGACCCCTGGCAGGAGCCCTAATGCAACATCAGTCAATTCCAGACAGAGATGAGACAGCCACCACCAAAAATAGACATATAAACTCTAGACACCATCACTACCGTAGTAAAATTCTGGAACAAATCTTGTGTGATTGAGTAAAAGGCTGAACATGAAACACCACGGCGCGTCTCAAGAGGATCCCTTGTATCGACCCAGACTAGAGGCCATCAGATCATCAGATTCTTCAAGGATATAAAAAGACCATACACTACACGTAGACACACCAACTGGCAATCTCACTAAATACCACACATCAACTCAAATTGCCATTGTCCACTCCCCGAAAATGCATGTCCTCAGCATCATCCTCCCTCTATACCTAGCCACCCCCACCACAGCCGGGGTCCTCAAGCCCCGCGCAACATACACAGACTGCACAGACTCACAACAGCAACTCGTCTCCGCGGCAGTGACAAGCGCCGGCCAGATGGCGGCAGCAGGGGCCAAAAGCCTGCGGTCCAACAACGGCACCTCGCTCTTCCAAACCTTCTTCAAGACCACCGACGCCAGCTCCATCGACCAGGTAGCCAGCGCGCTGGAGAAGATCGCCGAAGAGGCATCGCAGCCCGGCGGCGGCCTCGTCAGCTATTCCTGTCAGCCCGGCAACATCAACTGTCAGTCGGGCGGGTTTACCACGACCGCGTATGCGAGTACGGATGGCACGCGCGGCCAGGTGAATACCTGTCCTGCGTACTTTGATCTGCCGGCGTCGTCGGATGATTGCACGGTCCTGGATCAGGCGACGTCTACGTTGCATGAACTTGGCCATACTAAGGGCGTGCTGGGCAATGAGGTTTATGGGTATCACGAGATTATGAATATTGATACCCAGACGGCGTTGAGTAATGCAGAGAGTTATGCTTTTTTGCGAAGTGTGAGTATTCCTTTGTTTTTTTTTACTTTCGTTTTCATGTTCTTTTTTGAGTCGGTTGATGTCGAGGGGAGATGCTGACTTGGTATAGCTGTGTATCTTGGCTGTGGCGGTCAATCTGGTCAATCTGGTCAATCTGGTCAATCTGGTCAATCTGGTCAATCTGGTCAATCTGGTCAATCTGGTCAATCTGGCCAGTCTGGCTCATCCGCACCTCACTCAGGTGGCACATCAATCTCGAGCAACTCAGGTGGCTCAAGCCCAATGGGAGGCTCAAGTAACATGGGAAGCCTATTCGGAAATTCCGGCAGCCAGACCGGTCCCAGCAGTTCTATGGGAGGCTCAGGACCTATTAGCAACATGCTGGGAGGCTCGAGTAACATGGGCAGCTCGGGTAACATGGGAAGCCTATTTGGAAACCTACTAGGTAGTCTGACTGGCTCAGGTAGTTCCACGGGAGGCTCCATGGGGAGCGGAAGCTCAAGAAGCTCAGGAAGCCTGTTTGGAAGTCCAAGCAGTTCGACTAGCTCGACTACCCCTACCCCTAGCCCTAGCCCTAACCCTGTGGGAGGCTCTTATGATAATCCATATGGAAACTCCGGCAGTTTTACTGAGCCTGAGAGTCCGATGGGGAGCTCAAGTCCGTACGGTAGCTCAGGTGATATGGAGAGTTCATATGGTAGTGGAGATATGGACAACCAAGGAAGCTGGATGGAAAGCCCACCGAGTGTGATTGATACGGGGAGCTACGGTACAAGTGGTATGGGAAGCTCCGATAACTATGGAGGTATGGAAAGTTCGGATACCTATGGTGGTATGGATAGCTCAGACAGCTATGGTGGTATGGAGGGTCCATACGACATGGGCGGTATGGGTTACTAAGTTTAAGGATTGCATGTTATGCAATACTACTGCAGCGCATGACAAGGGAGTTGGGTTGGGTCATTTGATATGGGCATAAATGTCCGAACTTTTAGATGTACTATGTATCGTATTCCTAGAATGATTCGTGTGCTTTTAGAGTCCATTGCATCTTTGGTAGGGCAGTGTCGTGTCTGTCTTGGTTTCATGGTCGAGCAATTATATAAAGAAGCTGGATTAGGACTCGAATTGACTTAAGTCTAGTATTCCAGATTCTCAAAACGATACCTTATAAAATTACTCGTCTGTAAGAATATATCTTTAAAATCCATCACATCTTCCCCATAAACACCTTATGCTATAGTAATAGCATATAAAAAGGTACTTGCCTCACAAGAACATAGGGCAATCCCCGCCAACACCTGAGGCATCAATACCGAGCGACCGCAAAGCACCTCATGCATATCATCGCCCCAAACCGCGATAGTCTCCAACCTAAGACACTAAATCTCCAGACTAAAAACACCAGCCAGGCCCCCCCGCAACATCATTGGCCTGGCAGGAAGCAAGGTAATTTCAAGCTCCGAGCGAATAGGAAGAACACCTTCCACCACGTTGATCTTGGCCTATCTCGGGGTACTGTTTACAGCTGCAAAGATGTCCCGCCAAGAGCTAACTAACTCACGAACTAGGCATGCGCTCTGGGTTATCGTCATACGCGTTGGATATTTATTGATCGATTGTCTTTCATTCCTACATGTACCTTCCTTCGTTTTAGTCTTTATCTGTTTTCTCGACTGCGGGTAGAATAGTAATAGTCCTTGTATTCAGTTGTCCTGTGTCTGCTACTCATATCTCCAATGAAACTACATATACTACTGACTGCTCTGCCCTGGACGGCAGCAGCAGCAGCAGCAGCCAGATCCACTGTCGTCAACCAGACCACCTGCGGCGGCACGACCTACGCATACACCGGCCTGGAAGGCTACGGGTTCATCCCCTCCAACGCAACAGACAAGTATGGCGACACGATCGGCGGGATCGGCAGCTCGATAGCCATGGAGCCCGGTTCCTGGCGCCGAACAGGGCGAGACAGCTACTCCGGAACGGTCTATGCCCTACCTGACCGCGGCTGGTACATCCAAACAAAACCACACCCCAGTACACATAGAACAATCGCAGCTAATACAAGCCAGGAACACCAACGGAACCCTAAACTTCCAACCGCGCATCCACAAGATCGCCCTCACGCTCACCCTGGCGCGCAATGCCTCAGCTCACACCCCCTCGCCCCCAACCTGCGCCTCAAATACCTCGACACCGTCCTCCTCACCGGCCCCGACGGCCTCCCCACCACCGGCCTGGACGCCGACGTAACCGGCGCTGCATCCTACCCGGGCTACCCGCCCCTGCCGGCAGCCACCTACGTTGGTGATGGCTTCGGCGGCGCAGGGCCCGGCGGGAAGCGCGTCTCCATGGATCCGGAGGGCCTGGCGATCGACAACGACGGCGGGTTCTGGGTGTCCGATGAATACGGGCCCTACGTGTACAAATTCAGCAAGGAGGGGCGGATGGAGCTGGCGGTGCAGCCGCCGGATGCGATCCTGCCCCGTCGGAACGGGACGTTGAGTTTCAGCGCGGCCAGTCCGCCGGTGTATGCCCCGGAGCTGAAGGTGAACCCGGAGGATCCGCAGTCCGGACGGAACAACAACCAGGGTCTGGAGGCGCTGACGCTATCGGCGGACGGGAAGACGCTGTACGCTATGATGCAGTCTGCGCTGAACCAGGAGGGCGGGCCGAAGAAGAAGAACCGGCAGCCGGCGCGGCTGTTGGAGTATGATGTTTCCTCTGGGAAGCCGGTGTACCAACACGAGTATGTGGTGCTGCTGCCGAAGTATGACGATTACACGAAGAATGAGTCGGTGGTTGCGTCGCAGTCGGAGATGCATATCCTTCCCACTGGGGATTTCTTGGTCCTCTCGCGGGATTCCGGGTTCGGGCATGGCCAGGACGAGACACGGTCTGTGTATCGGCATGCGGATGTGATCTCGATTTCGAATTTGACCACGGATCTGAAGGGCAAGTATGATGGTGTTGGGGCGAGTGTGGCTTCGTCCAAGGGCGTGTTGAACGATGGGATTACGCCCGTCGAGTACTGTCCGTTCCTGGATTATAATGTGGAGTCGGAGCTGGCGAAGTTCGGGCTGCATAATGGTGGATCGCAGGATGCGTTGCTGTTGAATGAGAAGTGGGAGAGCTTCGCGCTTGTTCCGGTTGAGCCGGAACAGCGGAGGCGTGGCTCGAAGAATGAGTATTTCTTGTTCAGCTTCAGTGACAATGACTTTATGACGCAGGATGGTGAGTCTTCTCCTGGTGTGGGTGTGAAAGACTTCGGCTGACTGGATGCTTAGGGCACATGAACTTCGGGCGGTACAAGTACGCCGATGAATCGGGTTACAATATTGATAACCAGGTGCTGGTCTTCCGGGTGGAATTCTAGAATATATTCGTTGATAGATTAGAGAGCGATGTTGTTGTTCATAATATGTCCATTCAAGCATTGGATTAACAGTATATAATAACCGGCATGTTGTCGGTCTTCTGATTGATGCCTGCACCGAATACAAGTACAAACGAGAGAATCAGCGTCTGGAAAGAGATGACTTGGCCGAGAACGCCCCATTCCATAAATGCAATCTTGACGTGCCTCAATTCACAGGATTTTCATAGCATAGTAGAGTAAATCGCAACTGACGTGATAGAGGTGACCTAGGCCCCCAACTGAACGAGAACATAATGCCAACCAGATGGATCAACTAAATTAGTATTGGAGAGATCCCTAGTCAAGGGTGTTATCTGCGTCCAACGTTTCATCACCCATGACAGAATATTTGCATTTGCATTGGTATACCTATATGCAGCCACAAACGGGCATTTCATGAGTGGAAGGTGTCACTAGGTGGCAATGTTAATTGCGCGCAAAATGTCGTCGAGGGACCATCCTGGGCCACCGGGGACGATTTCAGCCCATACTTCCTCGGGGACTGCGCTCTCGCGAGGAATCAAACTCCAATTAGGACTGGGTTCTGACTTGATCCATTTGAAATCTTCAACCTGGCTCCAGTGGTCCTCACTGTCCGGGTGGTCGTGGTCCAGCGCCTGCAATGTGTTAGCGGGGTTACCGGAAAAAGAAGCATTGCCCAGCCACATACATATACTCTTGGTATCTGGGCGAACCTAATATTGGTGCAATCCTCGATAATCGGATTGCTGGATGCGCTCAGGTAGACATCCACGTTGGCACAGTTGTGCATGCGGAATTGGCGGCAAGTGACTACAATAGTACTGTTCTCCACATCGGTGATGTGGGCTGGACCATTGATCTGCCCACAAACCAGCAAGCTCTCCTTGACACCCTTGATCGTCAGACTGGCGTAGGGCTTTCCGTTGGCAGTTGGGATGGACATATCCACAACGCAATGGCGCAAGGACGTGATAGAGGCAGGCACCGTAGCAGTCGAACCGGAGGATGGAAGCATGATATGGAGCCCAACATGGTTGTTCACCGACACAGATGACACAGCAGTGGCCGCGAAGGTCTTGCCCTTCTCGTTTTTCGACTTTTCTTCCCCATCGTCCACGTCGATCGGGGGAATGACTGGGAAAGAAGTCGGCGCAATCTCGGCTCTCGGTTGCAGGATGCGCTCCGGCTCATTTAACGGTGTGGAGGGATAGTTGGGGGTCTGCGCGGCAGATGAATCCACGGAGGATGTCCCCGGCGAAAGGTATCCGGGCATACTCCGACCGTGGTATACTATGTTGGCCGCATCCGACAAGGAAATTGCCGAAGCATTCTTTTTGGTCTTGAAGCTGAACTTAGGACGCGGCTCGACCGTCGCCCGAGTTTCAACCAGCTTGTCTTGGAGGGCCTTGATCGCCTAGACGATGGATCAATATAGACACACGTCAAGGCCATATTCTTCAACCTACTTCCGCATATATCCGCTGGTCATATGTGGGAATATAGCTCGCTGCATCCTTGACTTCGTTGGACAGTCGGGCAATGCCAGCTAGGCAGTGGTCGGTCGCATCCGTCCGCTCTCCTCCCACAAGAGAGGTATCCGCGAGACGGTCCATCTGTTCTTGCAATGCTGTAGGAAGCATGGGTGTCAGATGATCTCCGACTGTGCAGATAGGATCACAGTCCATCAACTAGGTCATACCAGTGATCTCATGTTGGAAGTAACGGAAGAAGCGCTCTTTCAACGGGATCTCAGATTTGAGAATGGTCTGATTCTCGGCCTGGGAGGGCCGACGGGCATCGCGAATCTCCGACTGAGACATGACGATAAACGTAGTGCGGGGGCAATCAAATGAAAAGGGAAGAAATATGTTGTTGTTCAGACTTTAATGATTTCGGAGTTCCCGAGACGGTCCGCGTCAGAGTGAACGGATTGATGACGTCGTCTTGAAGGCATATATATCGAAGCCAGTTTGACTTGCGTCCACACGGCAAAGGCCTGTCACCCCTTGCTGGAAGCGTTGCTTTGGACGAAATGTAATCTGCACCGAAGCGTCTAAAAGCCAATGCGAATATTAGCTCATTCCAGCTGCACGCCATCCTCAGGTACTGGACTTGACAGCTGCAGAAGCTTCGACGGGCGATCACCCGCACGATCCACCAGAGGCAGAAGGGAACTGGACGGGGGTAACTTGGGGCACGACAGAGTCACTATCGGCCCCCCAATAGCGAAGAACATACCTCTAGTAAGCTCTTGTGACTGACTGACGTCCTCTTCTCGACTATGTTGTTCTCAAGCGATGGTCGATGATCATGGAACCCCCTCGGGACTCGGGGCCTCAATTATTCCGGGGGAGCTCCCCCCGCACTAGTCCGGTCTTGGTAATGACGTGCATGATCCAGCGCCCAGGCCTCAGGCATTCATTTTACAGTTCGATTAGTCCGTGGAGTCCATATATGAGATCACTATAGAGGCATACGTGATGGAGACAGAAGTATACTACTTATTATTGATTTATATATGTGATCCTCCACAATCTCATGCCCAAGAAATAATGTGGAAGCAGTCTTGGTATCTTCATCAACATCATGTTGATGGTAACTCAGCCAACTTGCTGGTGATGGATATGTACCCATCCAGCTCAGGGTTCTGTTGCTTGGAGAGCAGTGAAGCTCGCCGGAGTTGCACATCAGCCGTGGGCCGTTCAAGAATCAGCCGGTCAAAATCAGAGCGCAAATCATAATCTTTCGATGTCTGAGTCCCTTCGTGCAATCGCACCGCCCGGAGCATCAATTTGCCATTATCCATCCAGAAAAGAAAAATTTCATCATCCTGTGGGAAGGCCAGGCTCAAGTAACCGGGTCGGAAAACGGACGAACTGATCTTATGCGAGGCTTTCTTTATCCGAGCCACACGCGTAGACCCACTAGCATTGGAGTCGAACAAGTAAATCTGGTTCATGCCGTTCGCAATGGCAAACTGCGACCCAGAGCCGGACTGGGCTGCGTGCGTTATGCGGGTGCTATTTGGGTCTTTAAGCATGTCTTTGTCGGCAACTGAGGATGATTTGGGGAATTCCTTCTCGAAATAGGCAGGTAGGAGAACTGCATGGTGAACGTTATCGTAGAACACGCAGGTGAGGTCTTTGTTGTTAGTCGTTCGCTTGTATTGTTAGTTACTCGTGCAAAACCAAGGCTAGGATTTCGAAGGACATACGTGAGAAAGCCTAAACGACTGTGATTTCCCAGGTACAGTATCCCACCGCTTCAGGGACAGGTCCCACACGTCAACATAGGCATTGCAGTCGGTAAGGTGTGTCGCAATGACAAAATATTTCCCGTCGACCGAGAATTGAAGCTTTCTTTCAATGATCGTTTCTTGCCCCCCTGGAGTACCGTCATTTCCTAGGGGCGAGGCAATGTGCGCTGGGGCCGCAGTCATATCATATAGAGATGCGCTGGGGTCTCCCGTATCACCGAATGAGACTCGTACAATACCACCCGCAATAATTTCGTAAACGCGAACTTCGCTTTTGAGGGTAAACGCAATGTATCGATCATCGCGAGACATAACCATATGGATAGGAGGTAGGGATGGGTCGTGAATCTCGATCGGCAAATGAGCTTCGGCGCTGAGGCCAAACCCCTTGAATACCAGAAGCTCGTAATGCTGTATGAGATGTCAGTTCGGATCAAATTGCATGGTAGATGAGTGAAGGCCGTATTACCTCTCCAACAGCGGCTATCACCGCGCAGCGCTGGTCTCCGGCAGCAACGTACTGCACACCGGAAACATCGTATCGATAACTCCTTGGCTTCTGTGCTCCTGCACTGGGCGTTTCAAATCTGGCCACCCAATTACTTCCGACGCCCCAAAGAAGAAGGCTTCGGCCTGACGCAGAGAAGCAGAATCTGGGCTCACGAGGTAAATGATTCTTCTTCACAGACACCCGTCGAAACAGGGAAGAACCGGTGGAGAAGGGTAGAGAGACATTTTTCAGTTCTCGGGGGAATGACTTTGTAGCGGACTTTTCATATAAATAATCGGTTTTGCTACGTGCCAGAAATGAGGCATGTGGGTCGGAGGGTGTCGTAGGAGAATGTTTGTTATTCATCGCATTGAATACGGGCTTGAAAGTCGCAGGCGAGATCGGACTCCATGCCCCGTCGCCTGAATCTATACGGACGGATGAATGGCTGGTAGAATGACTAAGGGAGCTCGAGGAGGTCGTGTCTCGAGACATGGAATCGGGAAAGGAGTAGCTTCTGGTACTGCCCGATTCAAAGCCGATGCGTGGGTGAGAAAGCCTGGCGGATTCAACCATGCGAGCATGTTGTATTTTCGTGTTTGTTGGACACAGAGGGCAGTAAATATTTAGTGTCAGGACCTGGGAGTTCGCTCGCAATTGCTATCCAGATGTTAAGCCTCCGCTTTTATCATAATGAATGTGATCCGGCAATCGCCTCAAAAGGAGAGTTGCATACCTCGCAGGCATTTTTGTCCATTCGCTCTTCCAATAATGATCGGGGGACTGAATGGACAGCAGGGCAATCCACCACGTAAAATACTTCATCTTGACGGTTTGATTGATTCGCTTCTTGGAGGGGTGAAAGCTGCAACCACTCGGTGAGATTCTGCTGATAGTCGTGCGAGGTAGCCTCCAGCTCTCCGTTGCAACCCCACAGTTGGACTCTACGGTTAATAAGCCATCTCACCAGATGACTCAGGGATGCTTCGCAGACTTCCCTGATACGAGATAGCTGACTCCAAGTATCCCGGATTCTTCGAGTTTGGAGGGGCGCTTGAGCTTCGGCATTTTGGCTTAGCACAACCGTCGCAAGAATCTGAAGCGGAGGTGCCGTGAATTCATCGTTGAAAGCCGCCAAGACCGTCTTCGCCAGCTTCATTTTGTTCTCTCGCGTGCGCTCAAAGATCTCATCCACGTCCAGTGCTGCAGCGAGGCTATCCCCTTGCTCTTGGGATATACGGCGGCGATCTATATGGGACTGTACCATTGTCGCCTCGGCTGCCCAGAGCATGTCAAACAAAGATAAGAAGGGAGTCGTCTGATCGGTATTTTTCTTCAGGAGACCCGACAAAAGGTCGGTTAAAGTCTCCGTATTTCCCAGTAAGGAGTTCTATCATGCGTAAGCCGAACCTGCTCCCGGGAAGGGTTACAGAGATACAAGTTAGCACTTACAGGTTCCATGGCCGTGACTTTAGAATTACTTCCCTGCGATGCAGAGAAAAACAGATGACTTTTAGATGACGAATCGGAGGATTCTATACTATCGATGACTTTCGGTAGTAAATCGCTGACCATAAACCTGTCTGCACCGGGCAGCTCCGAGTCTTGCCATGCTTTCCTGATCGCACGTTCAAGATTGAATTTCATCTCATGGCGAATGCTTTGACCTCGCAACAGAAGCAGTCGCGCCCCGGCGAGTAACGTGAGGGCGAGAAAGTGTCTATATTTGACCAGCTCCGGGGCGGTTGGTTTGGTGCACGGGAACAACTTCGGCTTCACCTGCACTAGGTACATGAGGGTCGAGAAGATGACTTCGGAAGGGAGTAGATATGAAGTGGACGAGGGGTGGCCATCGTCAAAATTCGTTAGCCCCTGCAGGTAGGTTCTCTGCAGGTCAAAAATGGCTTTGATCCAGAACACGGCATGCATGAGCTGCTCGACTTTCGCGACATCGGAAGCATCTTCCGCCTGGAAAATCGCGACATCCGTGGCATGTTCGCCGATGATTTCCCTGACGATATTGGTTATGTCACGACGCCGTAGCTGTTCCCACACTGCTGCCACGAGTGGATGTGACATGGGGCAACCGGGGGCAGAGCGGCCACCAGCATACGAGCGATTTAAATAGGATATTAATTATCGCGACGCTGTTGATGGTTGAATTCGGAGCGGAAGGTCAGATTGCGACGGAAAGCTGCGACCGCGTGGTGAGATAGGGGGTGAAAAGATGGCATTGTCCGCGACGGATGACAGGTCCGAAAGCATGATGGAATCTGGATGAAAGGGGAGAAAAGGTGCTGCAAGGCTATCTCAGCTGACGCGAGGCTGCGTGTCTCGTCTTACATGGACAAACGTTGTCCCTGTCATCTTTCCCCCTCCCCAGCCCGGTTGAATTGTCCAATCACACTGCATTAAATCGTCCTGCAAGGACCTTCGCACATTGATCGGCCGCCGGAAATCTTGTTGTGTGGGCGGATAATCTTTGCAGGGCCGTTTTCTCTCTCCGGCTTTGTGTCGGGTTTTGGGTATGCGTCCAGAATGACTTGTCACAATTCAACCTCCAACAATGCGGGAGGCTTTTGTTGTTTGTTTCTTTGAAACGTGACATTTTGTCTAGGGTCACATGAATGCCCAACACAACAAATGACTTGGTGAAACCCTACAAAAGAGATTTGGAATTTACAATCCCATCCTTTTTAGATTGTTTCAAAAGCATACAATGCATGAAAGAGTCAATGTTTCAGAATTGTCTTACTCTCTTGCACAGCACTGCTACAGCACGATCGTACCATACTATATAACTTAAACTCAGAAACCCCTGTTCAAAACTCTCCGAGACGCAACTAATCTCGTACACTGACCTCAGGACCAAGTGTAGAACCTGCCTCATTCTTCATACAGACATGTTGGAAATCCCTTGCTTAAACACAGTCCAGGTGAGGCTCTGATCCTCACACCATTTGGAACCGAAGCGAGCGCCTACATTCCTCACGGAACCTTGCTACGGAAGACCACACGTGGGCTGCCGTAACTCAGGCTCGTAAGTTCCGACAGTATGTGAAAAATGCACTAGCCATTCAGTTCTGTCAGATGAGGTCAATGTATGCGAAGTCGCTTGATCATACCTACTTCAGAGCTTAGGGCGAGACAGAACGATAGAGTTTCCTATCGGCTCACGCGAGCCTGTTCCACCGACCAGCAGATGAAACGAACAAGTAGTATATACGATCAAGGAGGAAAGGAAGGTGGAACTGTCTATTACTAATTCCTGGACATTGTAGCTAGAGTTTTATACGTACGTAGGTGATGATAGTAGAGCAGATAGAAACTCTCTGAACCCGTCACAGTGTCACAAGAATACCCGAGTAGCATATACGACATGTTGAGGTCGTAGAGAAGTCTTACCAGCGGCAACGTTGTGCTTTTTCATTCTCAGCATGCTCTGGGACTCACCTCTACACAGTTCTATTTGAGTTATTCTGAGGCATTTTTGCTGACTGTCAGTCATCCAGTGAATGTACAAAGTGTACAGTGAAGTTCAACTTGGCTTCAGATGACCCGACTAAAAATAGCCGGGCACGGTAAATTCACTCTCTGAGCCATAGACTATAATAAGACATAGAAGCAATGGATCTCTTTGTTCTACGACTTCCTTGCACTCCTTTATCTGTTGTCTTACCCTCTTTCATTTGTTGTCGTATTAAAGCAACCTTATCGCCTTGGAGCTAGTCCCTGGCATCACTCTCGTTTCGACCACATAGATGCGCGAAACCATGTTCGCACAGAGTATGAGCTTCCCATGCTACATCATGGCCATGGCCATGACCATCCTGTTGCTGCCTTATCTGGCAGATGCTCAAACCTTCACCTCGTGCAACCCCACAAAGGCTAGTGAGTGATACCTTTACTATGACAATACCAGGTCGACGAGCTAACTTCGACAGCTTGCCCCAAGGATCCTGCCTTTGGCACCTCAGCTACATTTGATCTCACCAAGTCGCTCCCTAGCAGATGGAAGTCTATTGGAACGGTGACCCAAGACCAAGACGGCATGGCGTTGACCGTTGCCAAGAAGCTCGACGGCCCTGTCATCCAGTCCGACTTCTACATCATGTTCGGCCGAGTGGAATTCACCATCAAAGCTGCACCGGGGACTGGGATAGTCAGCAGTGCAGTCCTTCAGTCAGATTCTCTGGATGAGATTGACTGGGAGTGGCTTGGTGGGGACAACGCTCAAGTTCAGACGAACTACTTTGGAAAAGGCGATACCACCACCTATGACCGTGGTGCCTTCCACCCAGATCCCGGGAACCATGATGCCTTCAAGACGTACACGATCGATTGGGATAGCAATCGGATTCTCTGGCAGATCGATGGCAATACGGTTCGTACATTGGAGCAAAAGAACGCCCACGGACAGTATCCGCAGACACCCTGTTTCATCAAGGTTGGCCCTTGGGCTGCGGGAGACCCTTCGAATGCCCAGGGAACAATTGGTACGATATATGCCTTCTGAGCCCTAGTTTATCAGCGACTAACTTACCTTAAACCCTAGAATGGGCTGGTGGCCAAGTCGACTATTCTGAAGGACCTTTCACTATGCACGTGAAATCGATCAAGGTCACAGACTACTCAACTGGCTCTGCCTACGAGTATACGGATAAATCTGGCTCATGGAAATCCATCAAAGCGATTGATGGAAGTGTCAAGGGCGACAGCTCGGGGGCTGCGACAACATCCCAGGCTTCTTCTACAGGTTAGTCTGCCATTCATCACCTTACGATTCACCATGCTATCTTAACATAACCTTCTACCCGGAGTGACTCTACCTCAAACTGACGTCTAATTCTCCCAAGTCCTTTCTGCAACAACTCTATCGGCCATTTCCAAGGTCCCCGTCACGGCCTCGCTCACTTCCTCAGTCCTGGGAACCTCGCCTACGACCACCCCAATGCACAACAATAGCACCACCTCGAACCCTACATCCAATGCTGGGTCATCATCCTCACCATCCTCGAACCAACCACCGCTAGCCACCGGCGCAGCAAGCAAGAGCTCACTGAACAGATACCTCACCGTTCTGTTCCTGCTAGCAGCCCCCTTTGCAATCTGAGCCCAGCGTAGCACTCCATCGTCGACTGCTCAAGACAGAACTCAATTCCCTTCCTTACAGAACTATCTTCCCGAATGCTGCGCATTCAAATACTATTCTTTTCCCGAACCCGATTTCACCATAGTATCTCATTTTAGGAATTGTCAATGATCCACCTGTACACAAAACCAATGTAACGGTTCAACATAGAAAGAAACTCTCAATGTAAGAGTTACCAAACATAGCCCTTGGTCTTTGAGCCTACAACTACCACGGATCCAGGATTCGGGTCTAGTCAACTGCTTAACCATGGTACCCAATGGCTGTTCGCCAGCCTGCATTGAAGATCGTAATTAGACGTGCGTGGCAAAGTGGCATCGATTGGTAGAAGTGCATTTGGCCCCCAGGTTAAGCAATTAGCCGACGGTTGGGCCTCCTGCGCGTGGAGATTTAGTCTGAAAGGTGGAGGTGGATTCGTAAGGCTATTGTTTTAGCGTGGGTTGGGGGCATAACGTCTGTCGTAGACGTATTTGGAAGGTGGTTAATGTGGGATTGTATGTTCTTATAGTAGATTTTGGTTTCTCTGGTGGATTAATGGGGGTTAGAATGAGAGGGATCTAGATTTTAATGGTGTGGTTTTACTATAGGTGCTGAGGGTAGGGCTTGGGGAAATATAAATTGTTTGTGATTATGTACTTCAAATTTTGCATAAGAGGTATCTTGTCTTCGTGCATGTATATAAAATGACTGCTTCATTTACAAGCAATGATCCGGATTACCCTTTGGATTTCCCCACCATGTAGGAAACGGACGTTCCTTACCAGCAGCCCCAAGGACCGCAAACGAGAGAATGAAGATGATAATCTGAGACCCTCCGTCCATCGCAGCACCAATGAGGTAATTGTACTTGTTGTATATCTCCGGTAGGCGGCGTCTGAGCCAGAACTGCGAGAAAAGGCCGACAACAATGGACGACCAAATCCATGATGTGTTGCCATAATATGGACTGCCGGCGAATGAAACTATGATCGCTGTGTTGAGCGGCAGCTTTCGTAGACGAGGGATCACTTTCTGTAAACCCCAGTGTAGGATTGGCAAGGCAAGGCCGATGACTAGACAGAGGGGCACGATGAGATATCGACTGTTGACGCCGTACATCTCCTTTGCAAGTGCCCATGTGATTGCCTGGGTATTAAGGCCTTGTATGGTTGAACCACTCCAGACGCTGTTTCCCTGTGGGTCGAGGAGGATCTCACGTTGGGAGCTCACAATCGTGGTCATGACGACGTAGTTTAACCCTGCGCCGAGGAGAGTTCCGTATATTTGAGTGGCGAACATGACACGGTGAGGGACTTTGGTGTATTGCCCGATTTTGAGCCAGTTAGCTAAGTTGACGGAGAGAAGGATGCACTGGTGGGACCAGCTGGCGAAGTAGAGATTGGCCAAGGGGCGGCCCGGATGAAGGGCACCTGCCACCATCTTGGACAACTGGTTGGTGGAAACGCCCGTTCCGTAGAGACCATAGAGTATGCAGGAGAAAGGGGCAATGAAAGCACCGAGAAGAAGAGAAACGATGTAGCCCCAGACTGGGAGAGTGGTTTCTCCTTTGATGTTGACAATCAGTCCGGCGACAAAGGCCAGGACGAAAAGAACCAGGTACCACCACATGGGGACTTCCTTATACCTCAGCATCGCCTGATAGTGTGGATCCGGTTGAGACCTGCTACGTGCCTGTTTCCATGCGAGCACCATGTCTTTGCCATAAAAAATGAGAACGTGGGTAATCAATGCACCGATGGCCAGGTTCTGGGTGAGGTACCCCCAGACAGTGCTTGAAGTCAATGAGGGTAGGCCTATTTCCTCGAGCTTGGTAAAATCAATGGTTCCATGGCTGTTTATGACGGCTGACGTTGAGAACTGTGTGCCATTGCTCTGGAAAAGAGAAGTGGACATTAACGGGAAGGTTTTGGCATCCCAGGCATTGCTGTAGTATAGGCCGAGTATAGCAGCGTACAGAATTATGTAACCAATCCAACTGTTCAGCTGTTGCTTAAATGGCAATGAAAGGTAGGTGCTCTGGATATATTGCCAGTCCAGCGAAAAATTGAAGAGGCCCATACCTTCGTTGGACGACGCACCCCCAAAGATCGTAGAGAAAACGGTGCGAGTGTGCTTTGGCGCGTTCATAGAGGCGAGACAGAAGATAGAGAAGCCCGAAAGCCAAGTCATGATGTACGCGGGAAATAATTCCCACACGGCGGTAAGTAACAGAGCCCAGCCAAACTTGGTCAGACGCTTTTTGTTGGCGCGCCGGTCAAAGTGGAGATTCTGGTAGAGCACCACCTGAGGTAAAGTGGACCAGTACACCATTTCCGCAGGGTAAACAATCAGCGGCCGCATCACACCTGCGAGGACAAATCCACAAAGCGCCATCGAGAAGGTTCCCAGGACCGCGGTGGTTGCGGACACACTTCTATCGTAGAAAAGTCGTTCCACGGCATATATCTCTACACCATTGAGGCCGTTGTTTCCAGACGACGCGATTAGAGCGGCTACCACATGCTCTTTGATGGCAAAGCGCTGCCCAAAATTAAGAAAGCTGAGTACGGCCTGTAGCCATTTCCATTTGAACCTATCAGGCCGGGGAGTAAGACGGGCCCATGCTTCACCAAAGACATAGACGAGCACTGTAAGCAAGGGTGTAAGTAGACAGCACGGATATACACCGAAAGGGGACAGGCCTACGTACGCTGCAGAAAGACCGCAGACACTTGAGCTTGATATGGCTTGAAGACATAAAGCATGGTGATCACACTCGAAAGTGCAGTGAACACTGAGCCTAGGACGATAGAACGAAATGTGAGAGAAGGGTCCCCGTCATCTCGGACGGATACAATGAATTTGGATACATCGGCGCCTGATAAGCATTAGCTGTAAGTACCAGGAACCCGGGTTACAAAATTGGTTACCGTTTTGGATGACGGGATGTCCCTTCACATATACAGCACCATCGTCGTCACCCCGAGACCCTAAAGACTCTTCGCCATCCGTTTCGCGTGGCTTGCCCGTCGTCTTCTGTTCACTGACCGTCGCATATGGCTCGTCGGATTTATTGACACGTTTTGTCACCTGAGAGCCACTCAAGACTTCGCTCCCATCGACGGGAGCTTCCACATAGCTAGGCATTTTGGCGCTGCCAAAGCGAGAAGGTGGGCCAGGAGGGGATCAAAGATAAGAGATTGTTTTAGATAGCTCCGGAAATGAAGAGACTATGGACAACGGGCTAGACTCCCATTTTGATCTATAACCCAGGGGGAATTGAATTGAGTATACTGAGACATGCCGCATTTTATAACCGGCGTCCAACGGCCTTCCGGTCTTTTCGCACCGTTCATCTTGCTGCTACTAAGTCCAATGGTGCGATTCCTAAGTTGAATGATAAGAGGTCCTGTCAACATTTGGTTACATCCAATAGATGATGCGATTTTAATCACAATGGTGAAATCCCTGTAGTGCAACATTTGGTTCCCACACGGCTGTCCCCGTGACCAATTAAGCGGACGGCATTAAATTAACGCCCATGATGATCTTTGCCCTAAGATGGTGTTCCTCCTTAGCAGAATGTTTTAAGAGGGCTTCCCCGCCACCAGGATTGGTTCATTCCAGAGAGCCTTTATGCTCAAGCCTCGCACAGGACGAGTTCACTTCGGGAGTATATCCGAGATTTAATTTCCCGATGCGGGATTCCTCGTGTGGAAGAAATGGTGGATCTCGAATAGATGCAAAAAGTTGAATTCTTTTTCCCAGTATAAAGGCAAAAGTGATGACACCAAGCCCCGTAAGGTGGCCTGCGCCAATAGACCTCTATAATGCAGACGTCTCGAAGAGGATTGTGTGGGGAAAACGCAGTCAAAATGCAAAAGTTCATTTGCAAGGAGTGTGCGAGACTGTCCATCACTTGATCATATGTTTATATCCTGGACCCTCACCCACAGTCCCACCCCGTAATTTAACCTATAGCGCCACCCGATATTGGGATGGGCGAAGGGGTACTGCTAATGATTTTGGAACAATAGGTCCGTTGACAGTGCGGATGAAGCTGACTTTGATAGTCACAACCCCCAATATTAGTACTATCTCTGGTCTCCGAGTCCCATTCAATTTGCGTATCAGTGGATGTCCCTGTGCCCAAGAGCCCATGCATCGAGCTAGGGGACCCGCTTTCTAGTTCTTACTCATAATACAGACATCAAAGCATCTCGAAAGACAGGTATTCGACTCCTCCTGGCTCCTGCTTCATTACCTTGATTCGTGCGGGATGAAGGGGATAGAGCGAAAGTGTCTCTGGTCGCGTAGCTGCGGGTGGCAACTCACCGTTGTCATATTGCAGGACGTGCTGATGACCTAACAATGGCAATGTCTCGTCATTTTTGGACATTAGTGTCAATTCTCGGTATTGTGAGAATGTGGTGAGACTGAGTAGGAACATGCGACCAGTTGTCAATAACAGCGCGTCGCGGTGGGAGTCGTCCCAGCCGGAGACATGTTGCTTCATCAGATTGAGGAAGCAACCCAGGAACAGGTCGCTACAGTTTGCGAATGCTTCATTATCGAACGTTAAGTACTTGGATAGTAGTTGAGTCAATGGATGCGACATTTCGAGAACGATACCACTCAGCTGGCAGGTATACTTTAAGAATGACCATCCCAAGCGAGGCGAGATACTCATAAGCTGGAAAGCGGCCATAAAGGTTTCAGAGGTGAGTAAGGGGCTTTCTGCCTTTAGGTTGGCTTTGTAGGTATCGAAACAACCGCTTAGGAGTCTAAAGCCAGCCTGTACCTGTCCGCCTCTCAGGAGTATAGTAACTGTGGTCATCTGTGCTAGCCAGTCGCTGTTCTGGAGGGACACCATGAATGTAGGTGATGTCTGCCACCGTCCGCGCGCCGAGTTTACATCGACGTACTTCTCCAGAATCTTAAGACAGTCCAGTACTTTCTGCTGATGAACTGGTGCTCCAAGACCTGGTGCCACAGTCGGTAGCGCAGGTTGCCGGGAGGTTATCGACCGAGCAGTGTCGTCTACGTGTGCATGTGGTGTCTTGCCCGTCTGGCGCTGGGCATTATCTTTACCATACCTGACGTACTTGGTGACATGCCATCTCTTCAGTCGCGCTTTGTACATACGCGCACTATGAATTTAATGACTCAGTAGACATGGTGATGGAGGCATGCATCTGTCTTACGTAGCTTGGAACTCGTGCTCTCGTCGCATGTGTTCCATGACATCTACAAGAGGCTTCTGGCGGTAAAGGCTCGTGATTGTTGCCCTATGTTCGGCGAAGTCCGCCTCAGTGGCCCATTTGGTCGTCGACATCCTGTCTCAGAGTGTCCTAGCTGAGGACTTAAATGGTTTGGTGGCTGCCTTAGCGCGGGGGTGGGACAGGAAGAAGGTTTTGGCACAATTGGTATATGTTCTTGAAAATGAATTCGACACTTGGAGCAGAGAATTCCGTGGTAGTCTCAGAGATTTGATGTTGACGGACACACCACGCTGATAATAGCCTCCATCGACATTGGGGAGGATATCACACTGGCCTGAGGAAAGGCTGAGCAGCGCACTGTCAGCCAACACGGTATTAAATTGGCTAGGAGGCTGGTGTCAATTAAAAGTCCGATGCTGCCGCTAAGTTATCCACAGCCACCACATCTTTCCAGGATTAGTGCCAATGAATCCACACCTTTCTTTTCCCCCCCTCCTGTTCCTCGCTTAAATCTTTCCAGTCAGATCTGCAAGAATTACTGTGAAAGGCACTGATACATTTATCTGTGCGAAAATTGTTGGAAACCATAGAAGCGCCTCCATTGCACGGGATGTATTGCCGGATAAGCCTGTCATTGACCCGATCCAAAAATCAAGCATTCCAGTGGCAGAAGGAATATGGGATCCAGAGAGTCGACCGATATTGCAGATAGAAAAGAAGTAGCGTGACCATCACATGGTCAACACGTGCCTCGAGCGTGCCCTTTAATTGAGCTACGAGATTGAGAGAAGGATCCCCAACGAGTCGGAGGGCATAAAAGCAAGATATTCAACGAAGTACTGGTTGCTATTAGTTTCCAGGCCCAACAGATGTACATATGCCTGGAGAATGATTAAGTAAAATCATACAAGCGCCCAGAAGAGCAACTATCAACGCTATGTGGACATCATAAATGATGGTAAAACAAATCGAAGGTCTGCAAGCCTAATAGACGACGAGGGTCTAGTAGTTCATCACAGGGCCACCAGTCCCGGGACCAGGCTTCTCTTCATACGGTCCATCGTATCCAGTATAATCATCTAACGATCTATAGCCTTGGGGAGGTCCGGCATCACGCCCACGGCCTCTGCCACGTTGGCCCCCTCGGTTTGAGTGCCCTCTACCTCTAGGACCGGACCCACGTCCACGTCCACGATATGATCCGCCACGGCGAGGACCGTCTTCGTGATGATGGCGGCCACCATGCCGTGAGTTGTAGGGTGCTGGCCTTCCTGATGGGCCTTCCTGGCCAGTTCCGCCTGAATTTGCGTAGGAAGTGTCTTCATCACGATCTTGCGGATGACGTCTCTTGTGATTCTTATTCAAAAACTGGCTCTCCCACTCTCCTTCATGGGGATTTTGTTCTTCAACACGTAAAACCACTTTCTCGCCAACGACTGTTTCAAAAGTGAAAGCTTTATCAGCAGGCACAGGGTGCCAGTTTTGGATTTTGCCAGCGTCAATAGGACGGGCACCTTTGCGCACAGCTAAGACTACCACGGGCTGTGGGTTTTCTGTGTAATACTTCTCTGTTGCTGGGACTGGAGTTAACCGAGCAGCCCAGACTCTATGTTCAAAGACTGCAGTGCCGGTAACCTTCCACTTCAACTTCTTACCAAGACCGCCGACCTTGTCTAGAATTGACCGAGGCGCAGGGCGAGGCGTGATTAGTATACTGTTAGCCATGTACTTAAGGTCATTAGAATCAGCAAGCCCCGAGGGCAGCATTGGGTTCAGTGTTTGACTGATCAAGCGACTCGAGTCCGCATTTGATATGAGGTACCCGGTGTAGAAGATGGTGCGCTTAATGCACAGGGGGCCATACGGCGACTTTGTACCATTGCCTGACCGGTTGCGGACAGCATCGTTGTGAGAATTGATCATACGTTGTACTTCGGCTGTTTCAATCACCGGTGATAGAAACGCAGCCCCTTCCGCTACCTGTATCACTTCCGCATTAACTGCTTTTCTGGGAGAGGGATTCTGCGCAGTCTGAAACCTCCGGTTCAGCTGCTCAAAGAACTCTCGGAAATGTTTAACACTGGGCTTGCGTTAACAGCAAAATTGATACAGAGAGGGACATCGCACTCACTGTTTCACACGGTCCTCGTAAACACGTATTTCGTCGGCCTGGTTATATGTGAGAATAAGGTCTTCAAGAAAAGATTGCTTGAACTCCATGGTAGTTGAGAACCGCTCGCTGTTTGGTCCAACTTCTGGCTTGAGGCAAATGAGGTCAAACTCCAGTTTCCTACTGTCAACTATGCGCCTGACAAGGCTTGCAAAGCCGCCCTCGCTTCGGCCAGTGAGTAGCACTGTCAATGCGTCTTTCTGCTGCATGCTGAGCTTGACCAATTGTACCTACGACCTATCAGTCCACATGCTAGTCTTAGTTGAGTGTACGTGAGCCGCACGATTTGCTCATTCCACCATCCTTCCCAGCCACGGGCTTCTTCTTTCTCAGCACCTTCCCCAGTGGCAGCAAGTAGATTCGGGTCATGCCACCATCCCCCGTTTGCGAAGCTCTCGTAGGCTTGAAGAAAACCGATGGTCGGCCCGTTCCATAACTGTGGATTAGGGAGAGGACTCTGGAACACTGAGTGATATTAACCCCAAGACCTGTACGGTGATCTCTGCTATGTTGTATAGTCTTACATGTGTTATCGAAGTCGTAGACATGGATCGCTTTCACGTGCGGCACGGCTGTTGTGCGGACGGAGGCAACGGAGTTAGCAATGAAGCCACATGCTATGAAGTACGGAGAAAGGAAATGACAACTCACGTGGCAGATCTCGATTGATTATTGACCACCGTCTCAAACCTGTAATCGTGCGTGAAGGGGGGCGTTGGTATTCCTGGGTCAGGGACCCGTTTGCCTGGCCGCGCGCCATTGCGGCAGAGTGATTCGCAGCTACCACGGCTCTTGCAGACTTCATGTTGTTGCGCTGACCTTTGAAATGCTCCTGGACTACCGAACCCGTTAGTGCATCTCCGTCGCCAAGCGTAGATTTGCTGTGTTGGTGACGGCGACCGGTTGTACGAGTCGAAGGACGAGGATCAAAAGTTCGTGGAGGAATTTTTGCCCTGACAGCAGCCGACCGCAACGTGACCTCCGCCAACGACACTCCGACTGCCACGATGGACCGCCCTTGGAGAACCTCCATGAACAACAACTGGGAGAAAACTACGCTCGCGGGCCCATCAGAGGCCCATCAGTCACCAGATAATGTCGGCCTGCAGCAGGAAATCATGCAGAAAACGCTGGAGGAGGTAGCGCAGGAGGATGCGGATGGCAGCGTGGCCAACCCGTGCGTCATTTGTCTGGAACTGATCTCAGAACCTGCCGTTGCGGTTCCCTGCAGGCATGCGAATTACGACTTTCTGTGCCTTCTAAGCTGGCTAGAAAACCGTCGGATTTGTCCGCTTTGTATGATCCTCCTTAGGGAATTGCAAGGTTCTTTTCTAATTTAGAGTCCAGGCAAGAGTGACGTTTCCGCGGTAGAATATGAGCTAGATAGCCCCGAAGGCCCGAAGCTCCATCGATTGGAAGCTCCTTCAGAAGCTCTCCCAACCCATACCACGTCCATATCCCGTCCAAATTGTGTTCACCGTCGTGCGCGCCGCCCCCGGCCTCATGTTCAACGGCAAATTCCGCTTTCGCGTGATGACGAGGTGAGCCGACGACAACATGTCTATCGCCACCAGCTTTATTCCCTGAGGGTCGGATCGAATCGCCTTTCACAATACCAAGAACTGACGCCGGGAAAGGTCCAAAATGACGAGGCGCTTGTTTCACGTGCTCGTACTTGGATACGGAGGGAACTGCAAGTTTTCGACTTTCTACACCGCACAGACGCAGGCTCGAGCCAGAGTTCAGTGGCTCGTCCGGGACAAGCAAGACTCGAAAGCCGCCGAGGAAGCAATGCCGAATTCTTGTTGGAGTACATTATTGCCATTCTCCGTACCGTTGACATCAAAGGCAGCGCTGGGCAAGCGGAGTCTCTCTTGCAGGATTTCCTTGGCCGAGATAATGCACGCTTGTTCTTGCATGAGTTGCAGGCATGGCTTCGAAGCCCCTATACATCACTATCGGACTGGGACCGCAATGTTCAGTATGATGATCCGAACAGGAGGACGGCTTCATTTAGATCTTGTCCAGGACCTCAGCTGTCCGATCGTACAACGTCTCCGGTATACAGGAATAATGACCGCGTTGTTCATGGGAGGGTTTCAAGACCATCGCCCTCTCGTAGACCACAACATCGGGAAAGATCTCGTGATGCCGTAGCCCAAGCGCGAAGAATACAATACGCACGGGACCGCTATGTCCCAGATTGACGGTTATGCCACGCATAAAGCATTCTATACAGGTTTGATGAAGTTACGAATCACGTGGCATGTAAAGAGGTTATATAGAATAAAACTGTATATTATTTCTAATGTGGTATCTCTGAATATGCTGTAGTCGTTTCTCATAAATGATGCTGGTGTTCACTAGGCATTTGTTCCTTATCGTCTCCTACCGAAGCGCCCTGCGCCTCTGCCTTTCGAGTTCTTATTTCTAAGCTTCAGTGACCGGTAATTTGCATGCGCCTCGGGATTAACCTTCCTCTCGCGAGGCTTGGTTTGTCTCTCTTTCACTTGAGGCTGAGGTTTCTCCCGTTTCTCTGTTGGTGGCGGCTCTACAGCCCCGATGGCATCCCTTATCCTTTCCGAAAAACTTTTGCTTCTAGCGGGGGGCTTAGATTGCTCCTCGTAATCGGAATCAGAACCAGAATCAAGCTCCGCCTCTGATATTGAATGCAGCGAAGCAGCATCTGGAACATCATGGGTCTCGTCGCCAGTGGCACCTGGCTGCTGCGTTTCTGGCACCGCCGCCAGCTCATCATCCACATTATCGGTAACATCTTCATCATCTGACACTGGTAACTGTGACTCACGTTTTGGCTTGAACACCACCGGCTTCATGCGAACCCTGCGTGTCGTTCGCTTTTGCCCTTTCTTCTTAAACGTTGGTCCCGGATCCTGGTCGGCAGTCTGACTATCAATCGCTTCCGCATTTAGGCCGGCTTGTTCTGCCTCTATCTCGCGGAGTACGTCTAACTCATCCTCCAGACGTTCTTCTTCCATATCTCGTAGTCCTTGCACTAAGGCAGAGAGTCCTTTGCCTACAAACTGGGGTCTTTTTCGTACATTGATTGGGCTCAGGCCTTCGCCCGTGGGATTTGACGCAGCGTAGCGTGCCGAGTTGGATCGTCGCAAGAATGCTGGAGTCTCTGACTCCGGCGCTCCTCGGCCAGGGTCGTTAGCGCTCGGCTGAGGCGAAGGTTCACGGCGAATCGCATCGTTCCGGTTGTCCATCATGGTAGCGTAACGCCATGTTGTCGGTGTCGCAAATAAAGCTGAAAGCATATAACTCTTGCTTGCGGAAGCAGGTGTCCGGTCACCTCGTGGACTGTCTTCCTCTTCCTCTTCCTCTTCCTCCGCAATGGTATCCAGTGTCCTTCTTTTCGATGGGGTCTGCGCCGCCGCTCCACGTACACTGGCCAGCCTTGCCGCCGTTGGGGTCGCTGTACTTCCGCCCGATTCGGATAGTAGGTCGAAAAGACCGAGTGCCTTTCCATCTCTTTGAGGAGTGGGTCCAATGGCTGTCTTCAATGGTGACGACTGTTGATGCGTCGATGGGCTGAACAGCCTGCGCAGGGCTGACGGAGAATCATAGGGGTCAACTTCCGATGGATGCCCACGCTGCTTGGAGGGGGTCGTGAAGAGTCCTTTGGCCGCCTTGCGAGGCGTGGATTCAAGGCGGGCCTCATGGGATCCAGGGGGTGATGCATGCTTGCGTTTCTTGGGGCGCTCTTGCAAGTTAACCGAATTGGGATTGTGTTTCTTCTCGTATCGAACTGATTTCTCCAGCGATTTCAATCGAGAGTATTCCTTATACTTGGCCGCTGGCACAGACAGGGAAAGTTAGCTCATGACGCTAACAGAGTGGAAGCGAGTTGCACGGTGACTAGGTAATTTCGTTACACACCAATCTCGGGCGCTTGCTTGATATCGCTCCGGTCCGCTTTTCTTCCCTCATTTGCCGCGGCGAAAGCTCTTTCCCAGTCCTTTAGTTCTGCACGGAGTTGCGCTGACTGCGCCGCAATATCGGAAACCTCGACACTCGCCATTATCGCATGTCGTAGAAGGATTTAAAGAGAAGGGTGAGGATAGTGGACAGATTATACTGGACAAATTATACAAAAATGCTGTTCAAGTTCAATATTTGTTATTGTAGTAAAGGGACCGATGGTAACGGTGGTAAGTCGTGGTCGTGCCAGGACTGCATATGGAAAGCCAATGCGGCCAGTCCGCATTTATTCATTTTCCTTCCTAATCGGAGTCCCGCCGTTGGTTCCTTTTTTGTCGCGTGCGCGAAATCAATTAACGCGGTTTTATGACGTAACGTGTTTTGGGTTTCTGCAGTTGTTTCGGGAACCTCGCTTGACATCTATACCATCATTATCATTATCAATTTATCTATCCCATTATTATAATTTTATACTGCTATATTCGCACCCAAGCAGAACAATATGATCTGCTATTACTACCAACTCGTCAATCCCCGCTGCCTGTCAAACCCCCCTCTTAACTGAGACTCGGGGTGAACAACCTTCCCCTGCAAGATTGTATAGTTGACAACCCCTTCACAATGTTCTGGCTTGACTCTTGCTAGCCAAATCATTTGCTCTGCCTGTTTTCGGTAGATCAGAACATTGGCTGAAAATTTGTGGCCGCCCACGTGGGAGACAAAGAAGATTCCCACACCACCCGGTCGCTCATCAGACGCATCACGATACAACCCGTGGGGTCGCAGATGTCGCTCCAATTCCTTCTTAATTAGCGGGGCAGTAATTCCACATCGCGCATCTCGCCGTCTATGAGAGCAGAGAAGGACCACATAATCGTATTGGCATGGTCGAGAAGGCAATCGGGAATCAAGTGGTTGTCCTTTGGGGGCATCAATGAAGCAGTCAACCACCTCTCTAACGTCGCCAGTAGTTACCGAATCGACGAAGGTGAATGAAGGTAGAAGCAGCACGGTCGTCCCTTGCGTAGTCCGATAATTGTCATCTGCCTCATGGTTCGGGTTCCTGAGATTCGATGCCGAGACCATAATCCGCTAGTTTTGTTAGATCGTATCAAGAAAAAGTGGAGTTCATGGTGGATGCACACACCCCATGCTTGGATTTGTTGGAACTGCTGTCGAAAGCTTCCATTAAGCTTCCCTTTTCATTCTCGACCCTCTCCGTCCAGTCTGATTTGCCAGTGGCGACCAAGACGTGCGTGTGAAACTCTTTGATGTGTCCGTAGAGGACTCGGGAGTTCTCGACCTTCACCTTTGACGGGAAGTGCACCGTACAATCGGCACAATCTAGTTTGCAGTTCGGTCCATCCTGTTTTGGATCTACCGTGGGGAAGATATAGTCGCTGCGGCTGCCGAGCGAGAGGAGTGACCGCAACATATTTTTATTTACCTGCTTTCTTGGCGATTTCTGGATACAAGATGAACCTCAGAATGTATTGAGAAGCTGATTTAACGTATTGACCGACCTTTTGGTGTGATCCATCTCGAGACCTAATTCCAAGCTATATACTGGCTCGGACATGCGTCACCCCCGAGCCCCGAGCATTATCTCCGAAGGCTTTTACATGACAGGTATAGGGTATATTACATGGCTGCCTTGATGAGGTCATGTATATTTAACGAGGACTACAATTCTTCTACGCTGATACTCTCTCGGAATGTTAGTCAAGTAGTAGTTGTAATGCACGGTAATCGTGCTGATTGACAATCTAGACCTTCGACCTTCAATTTGTATACAAACTCCTGCTTTTGATTAGGGTTCAGAATAGGGAACTATTTTTGGTTGCTTCTGGGGAATTCTCATGGTGGAGTCGATACGGGCACAGCCGCAATGGAGGGATATATATACGTAAGGTAGAGCTAGAGTATTCTTAGAAGCAGTCAGGGTCCGGTACACATTCAACAGGATACATATGTATGGAGGTAGAAAGGTACAGCATACTGAGTACTCCCGATGCCAAATGGGGAATCTGCGGCTCCTGAATGGGACAAGTAGACCCCACTTGAGCTTAACCTTTTCAAGCCTTTTTTTTTCTTTTCTTCGTCTTTATCTTGCCGCTTTTCAGGCACCAGGGTTTCAGTTACACGTCTTGTCGATCTTCAGATCTGTAATGTCGGAGCCTAATCAGGCCACACAAAAATAAAAACTAAAAACTAAAAAAAAGATTCAAATACATAAGTCGACAGATAAAAATAAAACAATGGATTCAGTACCAAGCTTGAATATATATGGTAATATCCGATGGACTTTGCCTGAAACGGATATGATGCCCGGGTGGGCCAACAAACACGTAAGCCCGCCAGTGGAATTTGCTTATCAAACACAAAGATCTCCGACGGAACCGAAATGTACGGCCGCGACTTAGTCTGGCCAAGAACCCCAGCAAAAGCAGCGGGCAAAGACAACTGGGAGCAAAAGGACTAAGATGTCCACCTTCCAACGATTCGCGCCGTTGTCAACCGTCCTACAAGTCTCGCGATCATGACGGACGTCCCACCACCACCACCGCTAGGGGTTCCGGACCCGGAGCCTCAACCGGAGCATCGGGTGCGCAAAAGGCGCCGACGGACGATGGCTTGCGTGCAGTGCCGTAGCAGAAAGCTCCGCTGTGATAGAAAGCTTCCCATGTGTAGCCGTTGTGAGAGCAGCAAAATGGCCGTCGATTGCACCTATGAGAAAGAATTCCTTTGGCAACAACCCAATACGGTTGTTACGCCCGCTTTCTCCGAGCGCGGTCCCACTGGCACTAATACGATCTCTCAAGCCGCACATCTTGCTCGGACGCACCCTACCCCGGACTCGGCGTTAAGCTCTTTTACTCGGTCTCAACAGACATCTTCGGATACGCGTCCCGCCCTAGAGAAACGGGACCGTTTCCTGGAGACCGTCCTGGGCGCCCCGAAGGCCGCTGTCAACCAGGAGCCCTACGTGAATACCGAGCTGCTGCACCGTTCGAAACATCCCGGTGTCAATCATCATGCAGCGCCATCGCACCACCACGGGGACGACGAAGATTCATTGTCTCCCTCGCAACAGTTGGGCATATCTCCCAGAATCATGATGCGAGGGAAAGAAACCAAGACCCGCTTCAATGGGTCGGGGATCTTCGCCAATCTGATCGCTCAGGTTTGTCATCCTGCAATCGCATGCACCACGTAGCGTTCCTGCATCACGATTAACGAGAACTCTAGTTTCCTGATATTAAATCGTTTGCGGAGGAGATACGAGTCGCCAGCCCGCAATTATCCGCGCTGCGACCTGACCTGGCGAGGGTGAAGAGAGGCCTCTGGAAGCGGAAGCCTCTCAATACGCCCTTCCCAGAACCCACGACTTTGTCACTCACCCAGATGCTCCCGTCTCGCCGGGTCGTGGATGACTTGGTCGTGCTGTATCTGACCTATTTCGAAGCGACTCACCGTATCCTACATGTCCCGTCCTTTCTCAAGGAGCTCGATGAGTTCTGGGCACAACGGGATACCCCGGATTTTGTATCCCCGCACTTCGTAGTACAACTTCTGCTGGTTCTGGCTTGTGCCTGGAATCTGGCAGATTTTGATACACTGCAACTGAAAAACGATAATGAATCCGACTTGACTTGCTACACGGCGATAGAGTGGGTCCTCCACGCCGAGAGGTGGATTGAGAACTCCCACATCAAGCGGCCGGACATCATGGCGTTTCGGCTTTATATCCTCCTACTCGTGGCGAAGAACGCGCATGGGATGAAGCGCAGCAAGGCTTGGCTTGACACCGGGACACTGATCAAGCAAGCTATGCTGGCAGGGTACCACCGGGATCCCAGCCGGTACACCAAGATCTCCCCGTTCAACAAGGAGATGCGCCGGCGGATTTGGACCACAATTGTCGAGCTGGATCTAGAGGTGTCACTCGAGCGAGGGATGCCGCCTGCTTTGCAATACGGAGATTATGATACGGCCCCAGCACTCAACCTAAACGATAATGAACTACAGGAGACCAGCGAAGAGCTCCCGGCGGAGAGACCCCTAAGTGAGATAACTGGCTGCTCATTCCAATCAGTTTTGATACAGTCCCTTCCCTTGCGGCTGAAGGCGTGTAAGCTGATGCATTCGCCGCGAATAAGCTGTTCCTATGATGAAATCCTTCATCTGGATTGGGAGTTGAATAGATATCTCTCACAAATCCCCTCCTGGACGGTGTCGGAAGAGGAAGATTTACAAACGCAGCACAAAGTTATTCTGATAAGATCCCTCCTTCAGACTAAGATCTGCCATAGCCTTTTATCAATCCACACGCCATTCGCCATCGAAGCTCCACAGGAAACCCTCTTTGCGCCATCAGCTCGGACTCGCCTCGAAGTGGCTACCATGATTTTGTCTACGCAAAGACAGCTACATGAAACCTCCAGACAGCTATCCCTCTCCATCTTGGGTGATTGGACCGTGCAGGCCTATTGCTCGGTGTGTCAATTACTCCACGCCAGTACCAACAGTCAAGGTATGTTTCTGCGAAAAATGCAGCATGTGCATAGAACTAGGCTAAAAGTACAACAGCATCTTCCCGGACGTCTTTACCCCAGACACTTCCCGGGTTGCCAGAGTCCTTGATCACGCTAGCGGAGATGACGTTGACTTGTCTGGAAACACAACTCCTCCTTGTGGTGAAAGGCGCCAAGGAGTACTTCTTCATGTCAACCATCTTAGATTTAGTGAAGGCAAGATTATGGCCGGCGCAAGCGACTGTGTACAAACAGGAGGTTGTGGACCGAGTCATATTCTTCGCCCAAACGCTTTTCACGCGACATGCCAATTGCGATCATCTAGGAGAATTGGGTATGGGAGGTTTCAAAACTACTCAGGTCAGTAATCTGCCGCTTCTATTGCTCATTAGCAGAGTCTCTAACATTCAGTATTTTGTATAGGTCCCAGTTTTGAACCCGAGCTCTGGCATGGCACAGCCTTTCGTTCCTAATATGAATATGCTACAACCAACGAACTTTGGCATCACGGTAAGATAGACAGCCATCGCTCGAATGGACTTTGCTAATATAATACAGCAATCTGGAGAGCTGGATCCTTTTCTTGATGCATTTGACTGGGGGGATCTTACAGGCATCACATTTGAAGGATATTAATATACACGAGATACCGGTTGAGAAGATCAGCGATCAACCTTGGTACACACAAGCTCTAATGCAATCGCTAGTGATTGGAATCAAGCTAGCAACTAGTCTGCGTCATATTCTTAAATGACAACCTACCCGACAGAAGCTAGTGCAAGTTACATGGCTATGATGTGACACTTCGTCTATCGAAAAAAGACAATATACTAACAAGACGCTTGTAAACCTAACCTACCTTAATCCATCTTATCCATTAGTGTACCTTTTGCGGCAAACCTCATCCATACTATACCTATCCGTGGAGGGGAGCTGTGGGCGCAACTGTACTGATATTTTACGATGTACAAATGTATGACAACCTATCTGCACCATCTGGCATAATATAACGGCCAGTTTAAATTGTTTGCGAATACGAATGGTGACTGGACCAGCTAATACCTTGCCAGTAATTTTGTCTCAGCGAAGAAATGATTCTGGTCACTCAATCTCAACCTACAAACTCCTATTTGCCCAGTGCCTGTTGATATAATAAGTAAAGCTCACCAATATACTGAATCTCCTTTAATACGCTCGTGTCCTAAGCTTCTTGGACTATTTCTACTGTCCAACTATATCATGATCCCGCGTGACTACACTCGAGATCCCATAATAAGTGTCCTAACCTCCATTGGAACACCGACAAACATGACACAATTCTAACCTGAGCCATTGCCCTACCTAGCAGGGCGTCAGGAGATTAACAAGCATATTCAATAGTAAAGCTAATCATCAATTGGTCTTAGGCACATGCGAGTAATCGTGACTTGGCATACGCTAAGGATTTGAACCCTGCTAGAACACCCCCAACTAGAGCGTAGATCGACTTAGTCCCCGTTAAGCTGTAGGCTAAAAGCCCACTACTAGTCCCAGTGGCGGGCAGGGGCTTTATCCTGGCACGTTTAGGTGGTTATGGTTACGCATGGGGAACGTATCGCTCCCTGGGTTGTCCTTGGGGGTAATTGGAGTATTTGAAATGTTTGCTTCATTATGTTCTTTCTACCTGCAGCGCATACTATATCATGTACCGACAATAAATATCTCTTTTTCCAATTCCGAAAATCGTGTTAGATGTAAGACCAGGTAGTAAGTAGTCTGTGAGATGAGGCCAGACTCTTTCTCGACACTAATGGCTCTATTTGTGGTATGATCCGAGTATTAACTAAATGACATAGAATGAGCCTGTTGAGGGGACAAGAGTGACATCCAACCGCGTGGAGCACCAGAGCCCAGCGCTAAGCCGTGATACCATGAACCGCCACTGGCAAGCATGTACCCTAATCACCAATATGCGTAAGCATCGAGAGGGGGATCTGTACCCGTTACCAACGCATGGTCGGCTTTGAAATTTAGTGAGATGGTTGCATATCAGCAGAGCGGTGGATTATGTTTCTCGGGTCAGTGTAGACCTGGGCCAGCCGGCCACTAATTCTTGTGTTCACGGGAAGCCAATGCATATGTCTGTGCTTGTGCAAGTCAAGCATATAAGGGGGCGAAGTTCCGTCCGATCCACCATTGACCTATTCTTGGTTCCGTATTCAACTATACTCGGATATCACCGAACACACTCTGTAAGCAAGGCTGTATTTCTCTTTGGGGAGGGGTAAGCAGACCACAGGATGTAACGACGAGACCCTAGTCAAGTTTGCTCCCAGGGGGGGATGCCGTATATAAATTGCGTATCTACTCTGCCTCGTAGAGAAGCTTCCATTACATTCTCTTAAGATATAGAATTGTAAGAACTCTACAGGTTGCTACTCTTTAGTACTGTTGAACCAACCGATATCCTGTCGTGTAAGTCAATATATCCCCCTCCCTTCAGTTCCAACAACCTGATATTGATAAGCCCTCAGCCAGATAAACAGCCATGAAGCTCCAAGTCGGAATCATCCTCGTCATCCTCCAAACCACCACGGCTCTCTCGACCACAACACCTAGAGAAGACAGTCCCATGACCGCAGACGGCGAGACCCCTCCAGCGAGAAACCTCTTCGCCCAGAGCTGCTGGACGAAGTCGCCATACGGCTGCTCAGACAACAGATGGTGCTGGAAGCAATGCGGCTCTAACGGGGAATGGTGCTGGCTAGCTAGGAACTGGGGAAAGGGTGAATGGAAGTCCTGTTCTAGTGCGTCTGATTGTGTGCCTGGGAGAGACAACAGTGACTGCGGGCAGGGGAACTGCGAGGCATGTGGCTGTAGTTGCTAGGGTGGATAGTTGTCCGCGTCACCCGCCCCTGGCGCATCGGTTATGGATAATACCTCATTCATATGCATATCTAGTGCCTGCGAGGCTGCGCCGATATAAGGAAATGTCTCACTCTGTTGGGATATAGTGTCAGCAGGCCGGAAAGTCCCCATTCGGACAAAGCCAACAACGATTACTTGGACTAGAAGCGATGCCAGGGACAGTAATATCGGGTCTCCAACTATCTCACTGCTGTCGTCAACATGCACTTAGCATCTGGGTCGATCACTGTGTAGACAAACACTTCTCCGATCCTTGCCGTTGCGCAACAGATGGTAAAGAGCATCAGGCACAAAGATCACGATACAAGAAGGGTTATGCAAGAATTGACAACCCACCTCTGACATGGGTACTTGGGTTACTCTATGCACAGGGCATCAGACGCCTACTTTTACGACGGGAGGAAGTATTCCAGCAATATCAACTGGCCAAAGTAAAGAGTCCCAGTAGCATGCCATATCATAAAATCCTTGGGACAAACATGGGTAGAAATCCCCTCTCTACCTAGGACTAATATCATAATCCGACCGAATAACCACCCCGCACCGTTTCAACTCCCCACTGGCCATTTTCCTTCTATTCTCCTCAATGATATCCTTATTCTCCTCATAATCCTTCTCGGCCTCTGCTTTCTCCTCCGCCGTCAATGGTGGCGGTAATAACGATGGATCTGGCTTCCACCACTGTTCCTGGGACACTTTTGTTCCATCGGCGCCGCGAAATTTGTCTTCATCCTCCTGATCAAATATGGTCCGATCGAGCAAGGCCTTGATCAGTCGAGGTGGAAGGCCGACGGCGTCAATCACGTCGTTGTCGAGGGTCAGAGTTCGGAGGACGCCATCAGTGCCAATAACAAAGGGAGCGTTGCCCTTCGAGCCGGTGTCCAGCTTGCTCATGATGTTGGATAGTTCTTTTTGGTCGGGGTGGTTATTGGGGTCGACACCATAGCGACTGGTAGTGGGCGGGGCTGGGCAAGTCATTTTCTGCTTTTGATATTTCAAGGATTATTGTGAGAGAATTTGGGAAAGTGGTTAGAAGTGATCCTACTAGTAAGTTAGTTTCGAAGTAAAGGACTTGTTGGATGACATGTCTGACCCGCTTGAAGGTAGTACACGGAATACTGACGGAATCTATGATGGTCTCTTCTGAGGCAGTGCAAATACTACCTCAGAATTTAGCGTCTGTATGCAGAGGTTAAAGGCCTAGCGTCACACCCAGAAGTTGGGATTCTGCGAGAAGTATTTCCCCTGTAGATCTAAAAATCAGACCATCATGACGGAAAGCCCACTTTAGCCTTGCTAGGGTCACATGGCGTTAAGGATAGACATTAGGCCGATACTGGCCCAGTGTGGCCATGTCAACTCCTGCATCTTCCGGCCGCTTATTCGCCCTGTAGCCTTGTCCCAGTGATCCCTGTTGAGGCATTTTTGGGAACCCTTTGTCCCATTGAGGTGCGCCAGTTCTAGCATCCTACGGTTATACTGGCCTGGTTTCGGCGTCCATCGAGGTGGAGCTTAGACTCTACAGAAAGGCCCATATATCAGGGGGGAAAGATCATTCGGCTATATGAAAAGGGTTTAGGAACTTTGGGATGATCTCGCGGCAATGCAAAATGACCAAGTTCCCCCGAGCCTTAGTTGAGAGAGAGAGAGGAGATGAAGTCAGTCATCCGCAGATCCCTGAAAGGATCTGCCCTCTCGATAGCCCCTCCCTCGCTCATCTCCGTTCCAAATCTCTACGTACCCAAATCTCCAACAACAACAGCCAACATATCCTTGTAGACACCGGTTGCGTGTGATGCTTTGAGAGTGATAACGTGTACCCTCTTTTGGTCATCTCAATCGCATAATGAATACCCCGGTGTTGGCGCACATAGATCGGAGTGGAATTCCATCTCTGCCATGAACGACGACCTCCAACAGTCTCCCAACTATCCTGTTAGGTTTATTGCCTTCTATATCGCGGTGCTCCGCTTGTAACGACTAACCGGTTTACTTGACTCTTACCGATCGTTAGTGCCATGGGAGAAAGAACGTTTAGCTTCGCAGCGTCAATCACAGCGCTCATGGGATTTCTTATGGCACGTACTGTCCATGCAGCCTCGTTCCAGTCCTATGCTATGCCGAGTCAGCTGGCCAATGGATCACCTAGTCAAGAAGTACAAGATCGAGGAGGTTGACTTTCCCGGAAGGGATGGTCATCGAAGGCAGAGACCGGATTCCGATCAGGGTCTCTGGTGGCTCATACTACATGACCCATGAGGCAGCGGAGACCTATAATTTCTGTTCCAGTGCATATTCCACCGACAGGACCGTCGCACATGTAGGATTCACCTTCCGTGGCGACAATTCTGCGGCCAAGATGCCACCTGCTTGTTGCGCGAAACAACAACGCCCTCTCAGCGATGCTAGTTACGAAAGCGCCTCCGGGAATAATCCGGTGCTTCATGACGCTGAGCCTTGTGCTTTTACAGATGCATGTCCCACACCATTGATATACATTTGGACTTTGGTGATTCTGTCTGTTTTGCGTCATTTTATTGCTATGTCCCTGTGGTTGCTCACTGTATAAGGCGGGATATTTTGTATTTGTCTGCGGAAACGGCCATTCATCTTGGTCTATTTGTCAGGAAATAGACATGTATACCTCTCATCAGCGACAAATATTCTTTAGAGGATGGTAGGAGACCACCTACTATGACATCGCAGGCTACGGCTCGTATGACGACTGA